ATATATATATATATATATATATATATATATATATATATATATATATTATATATTATACAACATATTTTATGGATTGAGTGAAGTACACTTTTTAATGTTACTGTGATTTATTATAACTTTGTTGTTGTTCTGTAGTCAATAAAAAGAATGATATTAAATAAAAGTGTTAGTGTAATTTAATTTTTGATTTGCTTATTCACCACTGTCCACTATGAAATGTTAAAAAAAACCCTGAAATATTCATTTATTTTACTTAACATGTGTGCTGGATTGGTGTTTAAAGTCGAGCCAAGAAATTAATTTCTTATTAATTAATTTCTTATATTAATTAATTAATTTAACTAGTGTAATACTAAAAAACATTTCATTAATTAATGATCCAGTAGTGTAATATCAAACAAAAAACACCACAGAAACTGTAAGTTACTTACAGATAACCTACAAAAACTAAAACAGGTAAACTCGTTTTACTACGATCTACGGAGGTTGTTTGCTAGGACCGTATTCCATTAATCAAATAATAACTAAAAATGAATAGTTTTATTCAATCTGAAATTTCTACTACTAATAATACACCAAATAGCTCCTGTTCAAATCAATTAAATGGATCACCTACATATTGTTCCGTAATCAATCAATCAACACACCAATATATTTCCATCAAGAAAACAAGCAATAACTCGATGCATTTGAAAATACCAAACAATATTACCTTTCTTATAAGATCAAGGATACTTTTACATGTGGGACGAAGCTAGTGCAAGCAGAGGTGCCGACGAAATATGAAGTTGTTTACTGAAGCATTTTGAACGCAACACTGAATAACTAATTGTTAATCTCTGAAAATTGCGGAGATAAAACAAAAATTGGACTCTAACTGCTGTTTGGCTCAGATTGTTAGTCTTAAGACACTTTAAACAACTACAGCACTGTTTTTCTGCCATGGGACACACTATGTTACCGCCTGATAAAGATTTTGCCTTGGTAGAGAAGTAGGTAAGGGCCCATTGTCAGTTTTTTATGATCCAATGAGTTGGGAGGAAGTTCTGAAGAAGGCACAGAAGAACCCAGCGTTCCAGGTTTATAGGATCCCACAATTTCAAACAAATAGATTGCGCGAATATTTTCAACAACCAGCTGCACATTCAGTATCAGCAGTAAAAATGGACTTTTCTGCAGAAAATTGATTAATTTTACATGCTTCCGACACAGTTAGGCCGGCTCCACACATGGGATCCAACGTTGGCGCCAACGTTGGGTGAACTGTGTTCGTTCGGTGAGGCATCCACACATTGGTTGAGTATTGAGGCGATATAATGTGTGTTCTATAAAATAATTTCTATCTTCTAATTATATAAAATAATTATAAATTCTGTAAAATAAGAAAGTTACAATATCTGGGACACGTATGAGGAGACAGCGATATGAACTCCTAAGGCTGATAATACAGGGAAAGATAAGAGGAGGAAAGAGTGTAGGAAGACGGGAGTGTCATGGTTGAAAAATTTCAATCAATTTTCATTTAAGGGACTGGTTTTAAATGCAGTTTTATAGAACTCTTTAGAGCAGCAGTAGATAAAGTAAAGATAGTGATGATGATATCCAACCTCCGATTGGGAGACGGCACTTAAAGAAGACGAAGTCTGTTCTCTCCAGTGGCGCACCCAGAATTTGTCTGAGGGGAGGTTTTGAATTTTTTTACGCTACCTCCATTTTGAGTCCCTAAAATTTGGGTTTTAGTTTAATTTAAAGTACTAGAGATAGCAGTGCCACAGATTCAGGTATCTATTATCCTGCCTACCAACTAAAACCACCCTCTCTTACTTGTGCGCAGTTGACTGTCGCACGTATCGCACTCCGAAAGTGGGGTGGCCGTTGTAAGGCTGACAACATTTTTGGAACAACTCTTTTCATATCTAGATCTTATCGTTCTGAAGATATTTTTTTGTGGCATTTTAAAGTAATCACTATTTTAATGGGAATAAGCCCGAATTGAAGGTTAAAATAAGTTTACTGACGTTTGACATTAATCCAATCCTCCCGGTTCAAGGCATGCTCCTCCTCCAAACCTCTCGATTCCATCGCTCTTTTAATTCCTTTATTCATGCGCGTGGAGGTCTACCTCTTTTTCTTCTTCCAGGGAGCTTCCATTTGTGAAGTTTTTGGGGCTAACGTTCGTCAGACATTCTCAATGTGCCCAAACCATTTTGAACCTCTTCTTTTTATTCTGTCAATGACCGTTTCTGTAGCATTCATGTTATTTCTTATATATTCGTTGGTCTTCCTTTCCTGACTTTATGTTCTAGCACTTCATCTCAAATAATCCATTTCAACTGCCAACAATCTTCTCTTCAGGTCTGCATGAATTGTCCATACTTCAGAGCCATAACAAAGAACTGATTCAACCATGGTTTACCCTATTCTTTTTTGTTTCTTTTGGAAATGTTGCCATCCCACCATAAGGAGTTCATAAATCCTACAACTTTATGTCCCTGATTAATTCGGTGTTTAATTTCGGTTTCTCTCCAAGCCGTTCTTAGTAATGAGTGCACCTAAATATATAAATTTTTCCACTTGTTTGATTTCCACGTCCTCGTCTATCATTTTACATATTCTCTGTATAGACGCTTTATTATAAATTCTAGATCACAAGGATCTTGAGCTAGGACGACTTGGTCATCCGGAAAGTTCAGAGAGAACAGTACGTCATTTCCTATTGGGGATTCCCATTCCCTGGCAGTGGTTTTTCCAATTTTGGAGGGCTACCTCAATATATAAATTAAACAGTAAGCCTGACATACTGCAACCTTGTTTTAGTCCTTTCGTTACTTTTATTGACTCTGATAGTATATTTTTAGGCAAGTAGTGTTATTGCTGTATACTTCTGTGATTATTCATAAAAGGTATGGACTAATGTCAAATTGGTTGTAAAACTTAACACAATTTAAGTCTTGAAACTGTATCATACGCCTTTTCTAGGTAGATGTAGACTAGATGTACTTCGGTACCAACCACTGTTGTTTTTTCTATTAATTGTTGGAGTATAAACAAGTTATCAGTGCAAGATCAAAGATTCAAACGTCAATAAACTTATTTTAACCTTTAATTGCGGCTTATTCCCGTTAAAATAGTAATTAGATCTTATCTCTGTCGTTGGCCCGGTTGGTGTTTCTCTTCTTCTTCTTCTTTATTTTTAATGGCTGCTCGGATGTAATTGTGAACACTATTCCATCCCTCCGTACTTCCTGTCATCTTCACGATCATCTCTCTTACAGTCACAGGGTTCATACTTATTTCTTTATACATTCTGTTTCTCTGTACATCTATTACAAACCAGCATTGTGTGAGTAACAATGGTGGAATATTCGCAGTATAGGCATTTATCTGTATCTGTATTTCTGAACATATGAAGATATGCCCTAAAATAGAAAATCTACCCCGTCCCTTAGGCTCGGAATTAGCATCTTGGTCCACTGGGCAAAAACTTCCTTGTTTTTCCACTCTTCTTGCCATCTTTCCATCTGTCCCTTTCTTCTTTTTTTATAGCTGTTGTTAAAAGCTCTCTTCTCTCATAGAGATGTCTCTTTTCTACTGCTAACACATGCAGAGGAACACAACTCGTGATAGTCAGGAAGGCCGTCGCAGATACAGTCCTCTAGGCGTATGCTACTCGCAACAGACTCGTTCTGTCTAGTTTTGTCATAAGCCTAATATTTGGTATTGGATATCTAAATATACTGAAAAATATTATTAATTATTGTGTATTTATACAATAATTATCGTGTTCTACATATTTAAAGTGGTAATTTTTTGTATTGTGTGTGAAAGACAAGTTACATTTTACTACTATTCTTTATATATATTTTACTTTATATGCCCTGGGGGGATTTAACCCCCCTCCCCCCGGGTGCGCCACAGAATTTTACATGCTTCCGATACCTATTTCGTGTCCTACGAAAAAGAGACTAACTTTTTTTGAAGCCCCTTTAAGGAAGAATTTAATAAATACGATTCATCTCTCGAAATTGAAAATGAGTTGAGCATGTTATGTCTTGTTTACAATGGATTCCTCAAGTGTATTACACGTTTTACAAAGATTTGAAGCCAAAAGCGACATAAGAATAATTGCAAGTTTTTCGAGTTATTACAGTTCCTTGTGGAAGAAAATATTATTTTTAATAAACGTTTGTAGACATTTGCCTACTAATTTTTTAAGGTCTATTTGTACTGCGATATGTGCTACCAGCTGTGTTAAATGTGGTAAGTATATCTCATCGAGCAAAAAGATAAAAGAGGGAATGTAAAGGTAGTGGGGACAAAAATATTGTTAGACAGGAAGTGCTATCTTGAGAGGCCACTTTAAACAAGGAAAGACAGTCTCTTTCCTTGTTTAAGAAGTCAAGTTTAGTTTGGTTATGTTATTGTTTGTCCCAACTGTCACATGAAATTTTATTTATATTGAAGTTTTTTACCAATTTTGTCACTTTTTATACTATTATCGTTAATATTTAATTAAAACTTTCTTGTCTGAAAAATATTTTACAGCTATTGTTAACAAGTGTTGGAAAATTTAAATTTAGCGCCTTTGCATTTCCGGATATGTCCGCCATCAGAGGCCACTTTTTTGGTCTCCTTTTCATAACAATTAGATTCCCTCTTTTATCTTTTTGCTCGATGGTATATCTATAAAGAATCATCAAAACTATTATGTTAAAAATTATTAAAACGTATGTGTGCATTAATGTTTGTAATAATTGAAATAAATTTGTACTGTTCTATTAATTTGAAGTTAAACGGATAGATTTATGTAAAATAATTTTGCAAAACTTAAACTTTGTCTGTTTAAGTCTCTGTTTTGTTTTTGTCATATACCAGATTTTCCAACCGAACCCCTAAATCTCAATTAATAAAATATGTACTCACGGATATTGCTTGTGATGATCACAGAGCACTGTGTTAATCTAAGTTGTTCCTCAGAAGAGATTTTAAATTTTTTTATTAAATATAAAATAATAATATAACACTTAGACAATATAATAATTACATTTTAAACGTTTTACTAAATATTTAACCCTCAGCTTCATTTTCAGCGGGATTTTCAAGAAATATTGCACTATTTGGTCTTTCGTGGTTTCTTGATAATCCACCTGTGAATTCTGTGATTTGAGATCTCCTCATTATTGTGTTTCGTATTCTAGCTATTTGAGGAATTGTGTCTCTAGGCAAATTTTCCTCTGCAAATAAAGAATGTAATATAAGCACATATACTGGTTTTAAAAACAATATATAAATAACATACATTTTGCAATAATAATATATTCTAAAATAAAATCTTTATAAAAGATTTTAGTTTTTAAATTGAAAATTTAAAATTTCAAAATTCGGAAACAAGACAATTAATTGGAACTGAGCATACTGTTACGATGGGTATGACTCATATTTAGCCTGTAAACATTTTATTATTCTAACCAGTATTTTCCAGTAGGTTCTCCGCTGCAATAAAAAACCTGTCTGACGTATAATAGCTCTGGTCGCTCTGGTATCCACCAACAACGTATGCCTTTTACCATTTATTTCTCCATCTACATATACACTATCTTCACGACATTTCCAAACGATTTATGAGCTCACAGTTACGAATTTAAGAAGACATCTCGAGGACAGAGAATTAGCTTCTACCGGAAAAAAGGCTTATTCAGTCCTACGACTAAAGAACGCTTTGAAGGAAGAGGGTTGGGATCCGGAAACTTATATATTTGAAGACAAACATGCTGCTGTCATCTCGTCGATTTCGAAATTAGAGAACAAAGTTTCTGGCGATATTTCGAAAGTTTCTGGTGACATCGCATCATTAGAGAACAAAGTTTCTGATGATATTTCGAAAGTTTCCTCCGATGTGGCCAAAGTTTCTGGTGACATCGCATCATTTGAGAACAAAGTTTCCGGCGACATCTCTTTTTTAGAAGACAAAGTTTCTAACGAGATTTCTTCTCTAGAAACCAAAGTTTCTGCTAACATCTCTTTGGAAATCTCTAAAGTCACTTCTGAGATTTCTGCCCTCGACGATAGAATGCCTTCGTTAAAAAACCAAGTTGCTGCCGATATGTTTGCCTTCGAAGAAAAGATATGGAAAGAGATGGAAAGGAAGATGGAGGAAACAGGGACACAGAGAGGAAACAATAAAATTACAGTAGAGACAAAAGAAGACGAGAAGAAATGTAAGTTGGAAACACGGCCGAAATTTGAAGGAAGTGGAAGTTCTGTTTATGTGAAAGTCCCAACTTTTGACGAAATCAGCTGCAAGAGCGAAAGAAATGGCTGTAAACCTGACTATCGCTCTTCGAGGAAATGCCTTAGATGTGCTTCAGACCATAGCCGTAAAGGAGACGGAGAATTTAGAACAACTTAAGAAGAGGTTAAATATGCGATATGACCACGAACATTTGGAGCATGTATCTCAGTCGCAGCTTAAAAGTCGAAGACATAAGAGAGATGAGGCTCTTCAAGAAGGGTCTTGAAGAAGGATGGTCTTCGTGATCATGAAATGCAGAGAACACTGCGATGGCCCACCAATAATATTCATTTTATTTTAGGCTAAGGAAAAGCCACTTTTAACATTTCAACAAAGGAAAAATAGAGTAAGATACTCATTCAGATTCAATACAATGAAGTGATGAGTCCAGATTTAAAGTATTGGAGACAGTAGGAGTCGCAGCATTCGCAGTAAAAATTAAGCTTTCCATCCCGACTGTCTGAAGAGAAAACTCAAATTTCCTGCATCTGTCATCTGGGGCAGCATGTCGTCCAAAGGTGTGGGAAAGTTACATTTTATCGATGGGATTGTAAACACGGATAAATATTTGAATATTTTAGAAGAATCTCTTTTACCAATTATGGAACACCGTTTAACATCAGCGGAAGATTTTGACAGTGGAAGCCATCGAGCAAAAAGACAAAAGAGGGAATGTAAAGGTAGTGGGGGCAAAAATATTGTTAGACAAGAAGTGCGATCTTTAGAGGCCACATTAAACAAGGAAAGATAGTCTCTCTCTCCTTGTTTGACATCAAATTTAGTTGGGTTATGTTATTGTTTGTCCCAAATGTCACATGAAAACTTATTTATATTGAAGTTTGTTAACAATTGTGTCGCATTTTAGACTATTATCGTTAATAATTAATTAAAACTTTCTTGTCTAAGACTCATTCTGAAAAATATTATATAGCTACTGTTAATAAGTGTCGGAAAATTTAAATTTGGCGCATTCGCATTTCCGGATATGTCCGCCATCAGAGGCCACTTTTTTGATCTCCCTTTCATAAGGATTAGATTCCCTCTTTTGTCTTTTTGATCGATGGTGGAAGCTCTGTATAGTTTCACAATTCTTGCCCAAAAATGTCGAGATCAACAAAAATATTTTTTCGTTGCGTTTATAGACTATAAGAAAGCTTTCGACAAAGTTAAACATAACATTCTTATGGAATGTCTAAAGTAACAAAACAAAAACAAGTAAGTAGAGGAGTGAGACAGGGCTGTGTACTTTCACCATTACTATTAAATATATATTCCGAAGAGTTATTTACGCAAGCACTTGAAAACTATACAGAAGGGGTCAAGATAAATGGTGAATATATAAATAACATCCGTTATGCTGACGATACAGTCATTATCGCTGAAAGTGAGACAGACCTGCAGACGTTACTAAACACAATTTGTGATACTGGGGAACAATTTGGTTTAACAATAAACATAAAGAAAACAAAATCCGTGGTTATCAGTAAGAGGGTCAAAGTCATTACAAGGATACAGATAAAAAATGAAGATATTGAGCAAGTGGACAAAATGAAATACTTGGGAGCCTGGATTACGGAAGATCTGAATCCGAAATCAGAAATTCGCTCAAGAATAGAGCAATCACGAGCAGCCTTTTTGAAGATGAGGAAATTTCTGAGTAACCAAAGACTAAATCTGCATATCCGATATCTTATGGTAAAATGTTATATCCACTCTATTCTTCTTTATGGCATCGAAGCCTGGACTGTTAATGCTGACTTAATGAGAAAACTGGAAGCTTTTGACATGGACCGATCATATTTCGAACGAAATGGTGTTGCACAGAATGGGAAGAGACAGAGAACTTTTGAGCGCCATTAAAAGAAGAAAGACAGCATATTTGGGGCATATACTTAGAAATTATAAGTACGAGTTGTTGCAGATAATTATAAAGGGTAAAATCGAAGGAAAAAGGGGTCCTGATAGACGACAAATATTTTGGCTGAAAAACATTCGCGACTGGACCGGGTTAAACACACAGACGTTCCTAAGAAAAGCAGAGGATAGAGAAGACATTGCAATGGTTATAGCCAACCTTCATTAGTGGAGACTGCACTAGAAGAAGAAGAAGGAAGATTTTGTCTTCCAACAGGAAAGCGCAGGTTGTCATACCCCAAAAAGAGTTTAAAATGGATTGAAGACCATGGCATACCACTTCTGGAATAGGTTTCTAACAGTCCTGACTTGTCCCCGATAGAAACTTTGTGGCTCGAACTGAAAAAAGCTTTGAGAAAACATCCTCCCAGGTCCGTCAACAGATGAAGAATTGTGCATGTCATTAAAAATAAACAGGATGTAACTCAGTGGTAACCTTTCACAGTTTTTTTTGTTAAGATTACATAACTCTATGCGTTTTTTTAAACTTTATTATTATGTTTAATCAATAGTTTTCATTACGTTATAAAATATTTTCTATAATTAGGAAATTCAAAAATGTTGTTCGATTCATTAAAACTTCTAAAATTTACGTTGCGCTTTTATTTTTGTTCTCTAAAATTTAATTTTCTTATCAATCTAACGTTGTGGCCGTTTGATATCACCTATCAACCTTTAGCTAATGCCCAATATGGATAATATCCTATATAAACTTTTTAAACTTAATACTTAATTTAAACTTACCTTTATATACTCCTTTCTTAAATAGACTCAATCTTTTATAGAAGGCCTGTTCTAAGTCTTCTATTACTGGCTGAGGCTTCTTTTCTCTCTTTAAAGCTAACCAATGAGCTGTTTCCCTTCTTATTACTGGAGTATTCTCTTCCTCGATTTCGTCATTTATTCCTTGTAATCTATTAAAAACAAAGAAACAAAAATATGTATAAATATATAGGCAAATATGCACGAAATATGAAATTCTATAACTTTTCTAATCGTAAGGTGAAAGTTTGATTTAATTTAAAATTGCTTTAGATTTATATTGCAACAATGTGTATACATGAATGACTTTTGTAATTTGGTCTCTTTTATTTATGGCTTAACGTGTTACGACTCAGTAACTGCATGTTAAAGTGAGTGGTGGTAGCCAGATGTTAGTGCTAAGAAACAGCAGAATGAAAAATGTTTGGTAGAAGTATTTCTAGATATAGAAAAAAACTCCCAAATAATGCTCAAATATAAGTTAAAACTGTGACAGAGATGGCCTAAATGGTTTAAATATTATGATGCGCAAGGCAATGAGAAACATTATTAAATTCGTCAGAAAGAATCATCAGCAAGAGTTTTAAATCTCAGGCCCATAGTACTTGGTACGTTGACATACTGATGAAATTAAGAGTGATAAAAATCCTATAAAGATTAATAACATTATAATAAAAGGTATAGAGTAAAGCCAGAAGATACACTGCCAAAACAAAGAATTAGATCATATAACTAAAGAATAGGTCCCCAAATACAAGCAATAATGAAAGAGAGGAGAAAAATTCAAAATAATAGAAGCAGGGAACATAATTAACTTAGAAAGATAAGTAAAAGAATACAACATTCTATTAGGATAGACAACCGAAACCATAAAATTGAACAAATCTAACAAACGATTGAAAATAAAAGTTCTAAGGAGAAAATTGACAATTAGCAAAAAGAAATAATGAAATTAAAAGATAAAGATAAAAAATATCATCACCAACAGAGATGAATTACTAAGGATAGTAGAAGATTTCTATACATACTTATACAGAAGTCAACAAAACCAGGATGAACAACTAATAGAAAAGGTAAAAATTCAGGAAAAAGATTAGTCAACCAAGGATCGGAATTGATGCCTGATATATTAACAGATGAAATAACGAACGAACATTAAAGTACGGCGCCGAAGCATTTTCCGTAATCCAGGCTAGAGCAACCAAACTCAGCGTAACCCAAAGACGAATGGAACGCTCACTACTTGGACTGAGTATAAGAGACAGAGTTAGAAATAAAGAGAAGAATAAGGTAGGCGTCACAGATGTCTGGCTGGTTGAAGTGTAACTGGGCGGGCCATGTGGCCGGAATGAATGCAAAATTTCTTTTAGGCAAAAAGCACTATGTTGTAGCTCTTTTAATTTCCATTAAGTTCCATTAGCTAATTCCTTTTCGAGATACGTTTGTCTATAAACCTTTTTTTATAAATTTTGCTGCGCCTGAACTTTTTTTTAAAGATTGATATCTAATTCTAAACGGTTTCTCTTCCTGGTTGAATATATTTTTATGTAGGAATAAAAATATTTGCTCAAAAAGTTTTTCAACCCCTTGTTTATCGTTTTGAAGTATGGGCGACTTTACGTTATAAATTAATTAAGCTACATTACACACATTTTTAAGCTATTGATGCTTATATCTGAAGTCAAGACAAAGATTTACAAAAAAAAGTTTTCTGCGACCAGTAGAAGTGGAGTTAGCTTAAGTTCCTTAAAAAAATCACAACTCATCATCATCAGTAGCTCGACAACCCTTTCTGGGTCCTGACTTGTTCTAGAATTTTCCGCCATTCTGTTCTGTTCCTTTCCTTTCCTTTTCCAGTTGGTAATCTTAAGTTTTTTCAGATCTTGTTCCACTTGTTCCATGTATCTAAGTTTGGGTCTTCCCTTTGACCTTCTCCCTACTTGTGTTTGCCTCATATATGTTTTGGCGTTTCAGTCTCCAACATCCGTTCAACATGGTCCCTCTAGCGCAGAGGTCCGATCCTTATGGATGTTATGATCTCGGGTTCAATGTATGCTGTGTATAGTTCAAAGTTATATCTTCTGCGCAATTTATGTCATTTTCGTTTACCCCCTTATATATGTGTCTAAGGATTTTTCGTTCAAATGTACCTAATAGGTTCTCATCGCTTTTCGACAGTGTCCATGTCTCTGATCCATATACAAGGACCGGTTTTATCAGGGTCTTGTATATTTTGCATTTGGTTTTTCTTCTGATGTTGTTAGATCTTAGATGTTTAATCAGTCCATTATATGTTTTATTAGCGATATGTATTCTTCTCTTAACTTCTTCACCGACATTGTTATCTGCGTTAACTAGTGAACCTAGATATGTAACACTTTTCACGCTTTCGATCATAGTCTTCTATTGTCAGATTCTGTAGGTTTCTTTGGCCTGTCGATTTACTGGCCTTCATGTATTTGGTTTTTATTTCGGTAATGTTTAGGCCACTATTTTGTGCCGCTCTTTCTATCCCTTTTCATCTTTCTATCACCTCTCTTTTGCTTCTAGCTATGATATCAACATCATCTGCAAATGCCAATCATTAGACACTTTTTGTTATTATTGTTCCTCTGGTGTTAATTTTTGACTTCCTAATTATTTTCTCTAATGTGATGTTGAATAGAATACAGGATAGGGCATCTCCCTGTCGTAGGCCCGTTCTCACATGGATTGTATCTGTTAGTTCGTTTTGAATTCGAATTTTGCTTTGTACTTTAACTGTTTCTTTTACTATATCAATGAGTTGATTTGGAATATAAATCACAACTGCTTTGTTTATAACAATTAAAAATTAAAATCAGCACAATGCAATAGTTAAACGCCTATATTTTATGAGGATTTTTATTAAAAAAATCGCTATGTATAGTCGAAAACATGACTAAGGTTGACTGATTTTTCGAGTAGCCGAATTGGTTCGGTAGTGAGGAACTTTTCTCCTATCATGTCGACCCGGCGAGAAAAAACTTAATTCAAAACTTCGGATTCCACAGCGCTCGGAAAAAATTGATCATATTTCCGTTAAATATAGACCAATTTCACTTTTTTTATCTGGGATAGCGGAAATTTTTGGGAACATTGGTGATATTTTTTTCTGGCTGCGATTAAAACTTTAGTGACTTTTCTTCTTCTTCTCATGGCGTCGTCTCCTTTCGAAGGTTGGCGATCCAAATGACAATTGTAGTTTTGGTAGTTTTGCTGCGCGAAAGATTTCTTCGGATGAGGGGTCGAACCATCTCCTCAGGTCTTTCAGCCACGAGTTCTGGTGTCTTCCTATTGATCTGTTGCCCTGTACTTTTCCTTCTAGTATAACTTGGAGTACTTCATATCTTTCGATTCTCAACACATAACCCAAGTATTGCATCTTCCTCTCTTTGATTATTCTTAGTAATTCTTTTTGTTTACACATGCGACGAAGTACCTCAACATTAGTAACTTTTTGTACCCATGGAATTCTCAACATTCGTCTGTATATATACATCTCCAAGGCATTTCTTCTTTTTTCTATTTCAGAGTCCATTGTCCAGCTTTCACAGCCATACAGTAAGACAGAAAAAACGTAACATCTGATCATTCGGATTCTACGCTGCAGATTCAGGTCTGATGTTGTAAAAAATGTTTTCATACTCATGAATGTTTTCCTTGCTTGTTCGATTCATTCTTGATAGGATTTCTTTTTTTTTGATTACACTGACTATTGATATTTACTCCCAAATATTTTATGGAATTTACCTGTTCTATTATTTGACCTTTGGTATACACATGTACGTTTATTGGTGTCTTTGAAATACTAAAATTTTAGTTTTGGAAACGTTTAGATGTAAACCGAACATTTCGCCATGGTGGACTACCGCATTTATTATATTTTGTAGTTCTTGTGCGTTGCTTGCTATTAAGACGGTATCATAAGCATATCTGATGTTGTCTATGCTGATTCCGTTAATCTTAATTCCGCCTTGGACCTCGTCTAATGCTTCTCTGAATATAGACTCCGAATACAAATAAAATAGTAGCGGTGATAAGACGCAACCCTGTCTCACTCGTTGGATTTGTATATCTTCGAATGTTGTGTGCTCTATTTAAATTGTTGCCGTTTGATGCCAGTTTAGTTCTGAGGTAATTCGCAAGTATTGTTGCTCAACTTGTCAACTCCAGTTGTTCTCAGAATTTCGATCATCTTTTGATGGTTAACGCAGTCAAATGCTTTTCGATAGTCAATAAAACATGCATATACATCTATATTCATGTATTTGCATCGTTGCGTTAACACATTTAAAGCAAAAAGAGCCTCTCGTGTTCCCCGTCCGTTTCGAAATAAGAATTGAGTGTCACTCATCTGGAACTCGCACTTCTTGTAAATTCGTGTATGGATAATTCTGAGAAAAGTTTTAAGCACATGAGACATCAAGCTTAATATTCGATAATCATCGCATTGTGAGGAATTCGATTTTTTTGGTAATGCTACGAATGTTGATTTTAGCCAGTCTGTTGGTATTTTACCTGTGTCATGTATCTTATTGAATAGTGCTGTTATTAAGTCTGGGCTTTTACTTTCGTTATCTGCAATTAGTTTTAGTATTTGGACATTGATATAGTCTGGACCGGTGGCTTTTCCATCTTTCTGAGATTTTCTGCGTGAATCACTTTTTCTTTGGTTATTTCTGGGCCTTTTTCATTTATTCGATTATCTGTGGATGGTGAAGAACAAGGTCTATCGTCGTCAAAAAGAGTTTGTATGTATACTTTCCATCTCTTTAGTTTGTCTTCTGTACCCATAATTATTCCGTTATTATCATTTTTTAATATTGTTGCTTGTCTCTTCTTGTGTCTACCTGTCATTTCTTTTAGTGACTAGTGATTTTTAACATTTCTTTTTAAATTACTCTGAATTTCTCTTGTAGTTGTAAGTATAATATATAAAAAAGAAAACAGAAACAGCTGTATTTTTTACAATTATTTTCTTTTATCGTTATGCAAACGATATTCATTTATAATCAGAATTACGTTTTATGTATGCTTTGACATTGAAGGATTGATACAATAAATATGGTTTACCACTATACAAAATAATATCTTAGTTAAACAGTTTCACAATGTTTTTTATACTACCCGATTATCTTTAATCACCAGATCTTGCCAAATTAAATGCCTTAAAATTTTTTCACACCAGAATTGCTAAATTTTGCCTTCTGGTGCTGACAATTTTTGACTGTTTTTTTTTTGATACTTTTTTAATGATATATTATCCAGTAATGAGATTTGCATATTTAAAACTTCAATAAAAATACCTGATGAGTTGCTTAAATATTTTTATGGGATCTCTTTCCAACAGCGATTTTTCTGTTAAATTTTTGACTTGTTCTGATCCAAAAAGACTGAAGTCTATATGAGTATTGGCCATAATTTGACAGTAGGTACCAAAACGATGAATACCCATACCAATAAATTGAACAAGCAATAACGCAGAGAACATAATAAGAAATACAAATCCTATAGGTTGTAGTTGCAGATAAGTCTTCTGAATAATTATCTGAAAATAAAAAAAACCATATTAGTTATTTAGTTATAATTAGACTGAACGCTGGAAGAGACTAGCAACGAGGGAGCTAGTATTCTTCAATTAGTAATAAATAATAAAATTCTAGTGTATCCGAAACGCTAAGATTTATGTTTTAAGTATATTGAAAAAATTGAAAAGGTATTTAAGAAATGACCAAATAATTTCAAAAAGAATTTTCATAACACATAATAAAATAATTTTTATATGTGAAATTTAATTTCTTTGTTAAAGAAAAAAATCACGAATCAATGTTGGTAGTTTCCACATTTTCGTAGATTTTAAACAAGCTTGTAATAACGAATTAAGATGTAAAGAATATGCGACTATGACTTAAAATCTTACAAGAGAATCTTACTTCTAATAGTAACAATGGTTAAATTGATTTGCAAATACAAGGCGATTTTTTCCATGCCTTTTAAACATATGTGGAAAACAGTGTAAGAAGACTGTAAACAATATCGAGTTTTTTATGTTCATATACTTTCTTCATTTTGCTAGTAATAATAGATTAATCAGATAAATACACAATTCTACATCTAACACAATATAGAGGGATAATTAAGAGATGCATATTGAATGGTGCATACTTATTGCATTTGGTTAAATTTTATAGAGATAATTTGAATGCTATTTCAAGGTAAAAGTAAACGGCCTTCTATCTAATGTGAGATATAAAAAAAATGGTACACCCCAAGGCTCAGTAATCAGCCCGACGCTTTTCCTTATAGCTATTAATGATATAATCAAATCAATGCTGCTGAAACCAACCAACTATACGAACATATAACTGACTGTATTCACCACGCAGCCCAAGAAGCTCTAGGCGAAGAAACCAGAACAGTCCAGAGATCAGCGGGAAAAATCACTTGGAATACACAGCTTGAAGAGCAAAGAAATAAGAAACAGGAAGCGTACAAAAGATGGCTGAACACTAAGAATCTTGAAGATAAAGAAATATACAAAAAACAGCAAAGAATATTTAAAGATATGACAAGGAACAACAAAAATGAAACATGGGATGCAAAATGTAAAGAAGTTGACTGTTACATCGGAGGAGCGCGATTATCAGCGGCATGGAAATTAATAAAAACCCTGAAAACCGACACATCAAATAAAAGTCGAATACAGCCCATCCAGATAGATACATGGAAAGATCATTACGCAAGGGAACTGAATGAAGACAGAGATATTTATAATACTGACTTACCTCAACGAATACGAGTACAAGGTGAATATGTAAACGTGGAAGAAGAACAAATACAACAAGCGCTTAAATCGATGAAGAATAACAAAGCATCCAGACCGGAGAACATACCAGCAGAACTTCTAAAAAACGGAACACCAAAATTAATAAGCTATCTTAAAGTGCTATTCACAAGATACTTAAATGGGGAAGAAATCCCGAATAGTTGGAAAGAAGTATGGATTACTCCAATTTACAAAAAAGGTCCAAAAGATATTTGCGGAAACTACAGATGTATTTCTGTCACCAGTACCTTTAGCAGGCTGTTTGGTAAAATCTTAAAAAACATGATTGAGAAAGAATACGAACCTCATGAAATTGAACAGCAAACAGGATTTAGAGCTGGAAGATCCTGCGTAGACCACATATTTACCCTAACATAACTGAATGAAAAGAAAGTTGCAAGAAATCAGGAAATACATCTTTTATTTGTGGATCTCACAAAAGCATATGACACGATTCCTGTGAGAAAGCTGTGGCAGTCTCTTGAACGATCTTCATTAAATAGCACGATCATCGCCGCAGTCAAACAGTTATACAATAAGGCATCATCAAAAATCAAACTAAACAACACCTTATCAGAAGAGTTTCCAGTAACAAAAGGCTTACGACAAGGATGCTGCCTCTCTCCAATACTATTTAAGATCTATTTAAATGAAGCACTAAAACACTGGAGAAGATCCTGTTCAGGAATGGAGATACAACTTGACGACGATACAACATTATACACTCTACATTTTGCAGACGACCAAGTAGTAGTGACAGCAGACAAGGAAGATTTAGAATTCATGACGAGACGGTTGTTTAAAACATATGAAGAATGGGGCCTCTTTGTAAATAGAAACAAAACGCAATACTTATGCATCGGGAATGAAGTAGAAGATCTAATGGTCAACGAACATAAAAACAATCAAAAACTGTGAGGAATATATATATATATATATATATATATATATATATATATATATATTATATATATATATATATTTGGGAACAACAATCAACAAGAGTGGGCGCACCGAAAAAGAGATAGAGCAAAGAATCGTGAAAGGAAAAAAGGGTGATAGGATGCATAAACCCGATGCTATGGTCAAAAGAACTATCAAATCAAAGAAAGCATCTCCTCTTTAACTCCATCTTTAAAAGTATAGTGCTCTATGGATGCGAAACATGGCAACTTACTAAATCCCTTGAGCGACGCCTACTTGCATTCGAAATTGACTTCTGGAGAAGATCAGCTAGAAAATCAAGGCTTGATAGAATACAAAATGACCATATCAGAAATATAATGGGAGTCAAGTCAACCATCATTGACGAAATTCAAAGGAGACATCTGATCTGGTATGGTCATGTAAAAAGAATGGACGACGACAGGCTGCCAAACCAAATTTTAAAATGGACGCCAAGGGAAAGAAGGAAGAGAGGAAGGTCAAAACAATCCTGGCTGGGCGGCATTCAGAAAGCAATGTCGGAAAGAAACCTTCACCCTGGCGAATGGAATGACCGACGTAGCTGGAAACTGGGAACCGGAAGGCGGAGAACGCTATAAAAAACCGGGATAATAATAAAAAAATAAAAATCAAATCAATGAACAAACCCATTCAAGCGAGATTGTATGCGGATGATCTTATAATATTCTTAAATGGAAACAACATACATAGTATGGCCAAATTACTAAAGGATCAACTTGATAAATTTATAGCATGGTCTAAAAGGACTGGTTTTCAATTTGTTTCATCTAAAACTCGCTGCATTATATTGTCAAAGAGACCAAAACAGATAAAAGAAATATCTACTTTAAACTTGGGGGTCAGACACTTAAATATGTAAATAGAATTAAATATCTAGGTTTAATAGTTGATCAAGCTCTAACTTGGAAGGACCACATCAAATATATATCAGCTATATGTCAAAAAAGACTGAACCTCTTGAAATGTCTTTCTGGAACGAACTAGGGAGCCGGTGGTAGAACTCTACTCATATTATTGGGACCGTGCAAGTTCGGAACAGCAAAAAATCAGCAAAATTTACTGCGCTTTCATGTTAGATCGAGGTTACCGAATAACTGTCAAGGACGTAGCCCCAAAAAAGAATAAGAAGAAAAAGTAAGATTGAGGTTATGTCGGTATGTTATTAAAAGGTAAACGTTGTATGTAGTGTAAATACAAATAAATATATTATTTAATTACAGCATTACTGTTAATACGGATGCAATAATAAAAACTGGATTTGAGAAAGTAAATCACCAAATATCTTTTCAACCAAGCACTGAGTCAAAGGGAAAAGCTTTAGTAGTGGCAAATGTCAAAAAAGAATGGAAGAATTATGTGGAAGAATTAAGAAAAATAAATTACCATAAATAATGCTAATGCATACATTAGCAGGTTAAGCCCATGATATCATCATATTGGTTTGAACAATTAATTCTTTCCCTGTAAACTTTTGGACAGCGAATATATCTTAATGCATCTTCAGAAAAACTTTATGCATTTTTGTAAACTTCAAAAAAATAAAATTTAAACATTAAACTTCATTTTTGGGTTAAAATGAACTCTAAGTGAGTGTTATGAAACTAAAATTTACACTTAAAAGTGAACTTTAATTTATTTCAAACTGACTTTAAAATCGGGCGCAAGAATAATGCAAAATTTAGGTTATGTTACTTATGCTTTTTTATGATATAAATCCACTTTTCTCTTTGTAGTAATTTGTGCTTCGAAGTTGGAAACGAATAAAACTTAAATTAACAATTTTTTGTTGTATTTTTACAATTTATAACACAGCATTTCCTAAATCCCGTTTTCTTTAGTGACAGAAGGTGTAAATAAACAAACAAATATGAAATATGACAATTGACAATTTGAATTTGTGAAATCTATGAAATGTGCAGTAAAAAATGCAAGATTTCTCCGCTACTCGCGCACGATCGTTTCTCGTATCACATCCAAGTACTTGCACGTCGCCAATATAAAAATTTGATCCGCTCTAAGATCGATTATGGATGCCACGCATATTCGTCTGCTTCAATAACAACTCTAAAAGTTTTAGACATCATTCAAATTAACGCTCTTAGAATAATAAGCGGTGCATTTAGAACAACCCCTATCTTAAGTCTTCAGGCCGAACTCTGTGAACTACCATTAGATTTAAGAATACAGGAATTGGAATTAATACTCATATGCATCAAAGCGGTACTCTTTACAATTTCACCAAACCATTCGCTGCTCGAATATCCAGCACGCAAAAACCCACATTCCATTTTAGGAAAGATGCAGATGAATCATAAATGAATTAAACCTTAAAGTCCCCGAAATCTATCCTAGCAAGATGCCAACTTCTCCTCCTTGGCTAATATCTTCTCCTCACATAACTTTGGATCTATTATCAGAAAATAAGAAAGAAAGCAATCGTCATCTAATTAATTCTAAATATCAAACCTTAATTTCTCAATTTTCTTCCTTCAAACAGTTATTCACAGATGGATCTAGAACAGGGCATCGTGTAGCATCTGCCTTTGTAACAGAGTTTGAAATAAAAAAATATAAACTAGCGGAGACTAATACTATTTTAACATGAGAACTTTTTGCAATATATAAAACCATATGTCATGTTACAAAATGTCCTGAAATTAACTTCTTAATAATTACTGACTCATTAAGTTCTCTAGAAATCATCTCAAAAATCTATTCTCCCCATTCTGTGGCTAAACTCATTAGACAAGAATTGCACAACCGAAATCACAGAAACATTGCTTTCCTGTGCGTGCCATCTCATATTGGAATCACGGGAAACGAGCTGGCGGATAAATATGCACGACAAGCCTTAGAGGACACAACTATTGAGTTCTATCCAAAAACTCCAGCGACAGACCTCAAATCATATTTCCACAGCAAAATACTCATATGGAATAGCAGATGGCACAAAAACAGGCAAAATTACATATGATAAAACCAATATTTCAACCATAGACTGATAGTTCCACCAATCGTTTTTCTCAGGTTATCATCACACGACTGCGGCTTGGTTATAGTCGCCTTACGCATGGACATCTGATGACCAAGGGATCTCCAACCGGAGTGTAATGCTTGCGAGATACCGCTAACAGTAAAACACCTTCTAGTGGAGTTCCTGTTACACAGTGCGGAAAGATGTAAATACGGAATCCCGCAGAATTTCAGAGAACTATTCTTAAAGTGCGGTGCCAAAGTGATTATACAATATCTAAAAGCAATAAACTTTTTATACAAAATTTAGTTGTTATGCTATTCAATTATTGTTAATACTTTTTCTTTTTTCGCTAATAGCCTTACAGGCTGATGCGAGTTTGTAAATTAAAAAAATTGAATGCTGAAATTTGGGATGGTCTGATGCCCTGTTATAGAAAAAAGGACTTTTGTTTTTATTATTTTTAATTAATAAACGTAAATTGTCGCATGTAATGATGGTTTGAACCAAATTGCTCGCACTTACCGAAACCTAAAGAAGCTTTTATAACATGTCTCTGATATGAAAATGATAACTTACCATATTTTCGTCGGTGACATAAGTGAAATTTACTTTAGGGTTAACGGGCCAGTTAACGTGAATTATATCCTGTTGTAAGTTTAGAAGATATATTATTAATACAAATAGCGCATTCAACATAAAAAATGTCATGACCATTCTATCTCTTAAGTCCTTTAAATCTTTAGCGACAGCGTCCTGAAACAAAAAAATAATAATAAATAAATAAGTAAATAGAGCATTGAATACGAATTTACATAGAGCATAATAATTAAAAGTCTCAATTGATAGAGTTGTATTTCTGATATGAATAGATGATATGAAAAGATTTTTCTCTTGATATGAGTAGCTTTATTCAATATAATTCACTTTTGTCAAATTATAGATTGATGCAGTATTTTTTTTTATTTTATGATAAGTATTTGATGACTTCAATGATATTTTTTTAGCTACTTCTTCTACCAAAGTCTTTATTACTAACGTACCTAATATATTTTACCCTATAGAATGATTCTTCAACTTCGTAGATATTTCAACTATCTTTAATTTGAAAATGTACAAATAAAAACAACATTAAGGAAACTTAATTATAAAATAAAAAACGTCAGAAAGAGGTAGAATATTTACACTAAGCAGCTGACAGAAGATTATCCTAACACTATAAAGTATCGTAGAATAAACCAACGGTTCCTAGACTTACAACGGTTGCCTACTCCGACTAACCAATGAACATTAAGCCCGCAAATACGTCACGAGAGTACAGTAATTTGAATCGTAACTTGAATGGTTAATAGGCGGTTTTATGTCTTGGATGTGTAGAAAATAATAAAGATAGTTATGAAATAAAGATGTTTAGTGGATTGTAATTCCTAATTATGGAGTACTGTTGATATGTAGGTAGTTGGGTACTTAAAACTAATCAAAATCCGTTTACCCAACGATTAATGCAGAATTTACGTAAATCTAGGACTTCCATTTCCATTTTACACTAAAAATTTGTCGCGTATACTGGATTAACTATTGAATGGATTACCAGCCCTTAGAGGTCAGCTAGGATTATACGAATTAGAATTACTTGTACAATGTAATGTAAGAATTTAAATAATAGGTAATACATTTTAATTGGTAAAAAATGTAACTAGTTTATTGTATTTCCAATAGATATAAATATACACTACATAATTATTTTTTTCATTTTTTAAATATTTTTCTTTGGCACTGGTAACATTTTTGTTACCTGTGGCTATTACTAACCTGTTACTAACTGGCTTTTGAAACATTTATTAAAATACTTGATTCGCATGAATATCCTTTGTCTGCAGTACGTTTTTACGAGACAAATGGATATAACTGGAAATTGATATAACTGGAAACATACTCTGCAGTTCGATGTTCGATTTTCTTACCCCGATTTAGGTTTTCACCATGAAAATTTTGGAAACATTTTTCCATCGCCATTACTACTTGATCTATCCATTCCGATGATGCATTTATGAGTCTACCAAATGATAAATGTTGTACCCAAGATGGTACAAAATAATTGTGAAAATTTATTTTTTGTTCCTCATATGTATGTCTTCCTAAATTTGCGAATTGATTTTTATATTTAAGTGCTATGAAACCAGTAATATACTCTGAACTAATGATACTCTAGTTTGAACTACTTTGCATATTCACGAACATAGAATCTACACTTGTGGGTACTTCAGGTGGCAACATATTTATCTTTGCTTGTTGAAAAGCTTTTGCAACGATATATTTTCCTTTTTCTTGATTACCATAATGAGAAACGTACTTTAATTTTCATAAAAATCACTTTTACCAGCAGTCATTTTAGGGATTTTAACTATTCAACGCTTTTAACTATTATTCATGTATAATAATATGTTCTCCACAAATAACCATTTTACATTGCTTACCTTTTTGTGAGTATCATCTAGTGGAGTCAGGTACTTTTCAATAAGTTTCTCCCAAAATTTTTTTTCTTTCTTATCAATGAATTCCACCCCGCTTTTAATGAGATTACCGTCGTAGTACCAGCTATTGGCCTCAACGTCTTCCGAAGCAGTGATATTTGAATAATCATCTTCATCATCGCCGTCAACAGCATCGCCATCTTCATTAGCGAACTCCTGTGTTTGTGCTAGAGGAGTCCCTATTTGTGAAGCTCTAGAATAAGTTAAAGAAAGATATAGTAGGTAGGAAACTATTAAAAGATGATAGCGTTATAGAAGATGAAGTATTAATGATTTTGAAAAACGTTGTAGGGCCATGTGGTGGAAATGTGAAACACTGAAAAAAGTAGTGCAAAAATGACAGTTAATATTTTTATTAAAAAAAAAACAGAATTTTGGTACTAATATGTTCAACGATAGCCAAAACTTTAAAGTACCTTATTACGCAATTAAAATATAAACGTAAAAAAATAATTTTAAATATATAACTTTCTTCATTTGAGTCGGTGTTTGATTCGGTTTAAATCGGTAAACCCGTCGATATACCGAAAATACTTCCATAGTTGTTAGCTTTTTTTCGCGGTAGTCTGTTTTGAAGCATAAATATAGTTAGGTCGAATTGTCTAGCAGGTGCAAAAGTAAGACATTCTTTAGGGTAAATATGAAACAAGGTTAGGTGAAAAATGAGACTAATCATTATATAGTTTTTTGTAAAATGCCAAGAAAATATGTGAAAAAGCTAAAATCATCTAACGATGAAGACCTTCAGGCAGCATTTAAAGCTTATCAAAGAAGGTAAGATTAGTTTAAGAATGGCATCAACTTTAAACTAAATAAATCCACGTTTAGACGGTTCCGTGGAAAACACAATAAAAAACAAGGTCGAAAAGCCGATCTTAGACGCGAAATGGAGCATGGCCTGGCGGAAAAAATTAGAATTTTGGCCCAATAGAGTTTTTCCATGACAAAACAAGAAATCTTCTTCTTCTTCATGTCATCTCCTCTAAGAATGTTTGCAACCATCATGGCAATTCGCACGTTCAATACCGCTGCTCTAAAGAGATCAGCAGAAGTGCAGTTAAACCAAGCTCTCAAATTGTTTAACTAGGAGATACGTCTTCTTCCGCGACTCCTTCTACCCTGTATTCTTCCTTGCATAAGTTATAACGCTCGCCCCTCATGACATGTCGCAGATATTGCAGTTTTCTGACTTTAATTGTATTTAAAATCTCTTTATATTTTCCCATTCTCCTAAACACCTCGACATTCATGACTTTTTCCACTCAACTTATTCTTAATATTCTTCTGTAGGTCCATAACTCGAAGGCTTCTAATCTGTCCTAAACATCTTTCTTTAATGTCCAAGCCTCTACTCGATAAAATAATACGGAGAACACGTAGCATCTCAGAAGTCTTATCTTTAAAGAAATTGAAATGTCCCCGCTGCAGAGTACTTTTTTAGTTTGTTGAAAGAATTTCTTGCCTGTCCTATTCTTGCCTTAATCTCTTCTGTGTACTCATTATTTTCGTTAATTATTGTACCCAGATATTTATATTTTTCAACTTTTTAAATTTATTTTCCATGTATTGTTATGTTTTCTTGAAGCTGTTGAGCTTTTTTAATTACCATAAATTGTGTCTTTTTTGTGTTTAGGGACAGTCCGTTTTCTTCACGGACTTTTACCACTCTGTCAACCATTTGTTGTAAATTCTCAAGACATTCCGCTAATAAAATAGTGTCGTAGGCAAACCGTATATTATTGATTGGTCGGCCATTTACTTTTATTCCCATAGTTAGTTCTTCTAGTGCCTCCTGGATTATTTCCTCTGAATACAAATTGAACAAAGTAGGAGACAGGACACAGCCCTAAATGACGCCCCTCTCAATTTGTATTTCATTTAAAAAGACGTTGTTCTCTTTTACCACAGCGATCTGATTGTAATAGATAGCGTTAATGATCCTGATGTCTCTCATCTAAGTTTTTCTTTTCAAGTATTTCTATAAGACAATTATGTCTGACCTTGTCGAAGGCTTTGTTGTAATCCAAGCAACACATATATACTGGCTGATTAACATCCATGCACCTTTGCACAAGTACATTCACAGCGAACAGGGCTTCCCTTGTTCCCATGTTCCCAGTGCATTTCTAAATCCAAATTGTGTGTCACTTATGTCTTGCTCAAGTTTGTTGTGTATTCTCCGGTGTATAATTTTTAAAAATATTTTGAGCGTATGACTCATTAAACTTATTATCCGGTGATCTTGGCATTCTTTTACATTTGGTTTTTTTGGTAGTGTTATGAACGTTGACATCAGCCAATCTCTGGGAATGATTCCTGTACTGTATATTGTATTGAATAAATCGACCAATATTCCAATTTGCTGTTCTTCTATTAATCGTATTATGTCTACAGGTATTTCGTTAGGACCTTTTTTTGCTTTATCGCCTCTAATACCTCATCTTCCGTTATGTCTGGGCCGTTGTCGAACTTTTCCTGCTCTAGTACTATCTTAGTCCGTTCGTCTTTAAATAGCTCTTGAATATATTCCTGCCATCTTTTAAGCCTTTCACCGACGTCTATAATTTTTTTGCCGTTTGATTTTTTCTTAATATTAGTCCCTAATATTTTTATGGAGGTTTATGTTATCATGTTTCTCTATCAACTGTTCAATCTTTTCGCATCTGTCACTATACCATCTTTCCTTTGCATCTCTGATCTTTCTCCTTATTTCTGTGTGTATAATATTATACATGTTTTTGTCTTTGGTTTTAAAAGATCTCCTTGCTTATATGAGATCCAGAATCTCATCGGTCCTCTATTAATTTTTGTTCTTGATCAGCTTAGGTGTTAGTGTTGTCTCACATGTGCGTATAAGAGCATCTTTTAACATGTTGTTGTTGTTTAACATCCTGTTTGCATCTTCAGTAGAAATAATTTCTATTTTCGTGAGCTCTTCTTTAATTTTTAGTGTGACTTGCTCTTTTGTTAATGTATCTCTCAAACGGGATACTTGTATCCTCTCTACTTTGGTTTTAGCCACAAGATTTTTTAGATTAATTCTAAACCTTCCTACAACTGGGTTGTGATCTGATCTCATATCAGCTCCGCTGTATGATTTTACTGATTTTATGGAATTTCGGTATCGTTTGCAGATGAAAAGGTAATCAATTTGGTTTCTGATGACGTTATGTTGATTGTCTGCTGGAGATTTCCATGTATAGAGTCTCCTGGGCGGCAGATCATAATAAGTATTCGCAACAATAAAATCGGTCTCTTGGCAGAATTGAGCCAATCTGTCTCCTCTCTCGTTACGGGTGCCCAGTCCAAAGTTTCCAATAAAATCACCTTGACTTTCTCTACCGATTTTTGCATTTAGATCTTCCATGACTACGTCTCTAAACTTGTAAAGCTTGTAATTCATTATAAAACTGTTCGAGCTCTTCATTCGACTTTTCTGCTGTGGGAGCATATACTTGAATTATATTGACTCTAGATTGAGCTGTTTTTAGTGTTACCATTATAACTCTATCTGAGATGGGTGAGAAGCCAGTTACAAATTTCTGGGTAGTTTTGTCAACTAATATCGCTACTCCGTTCCAGTGATTTGCGTCATTGTCATTACCAGTTATATATAATTGTACCTTATGAGGGGTAAAAAATGAGACATATAAATGACATATTTTTAAAAAAGGTAGTACTTGCGAATTGAACATGTAAGAAGGTTTTGCATATATACATTTCTGCACATAAAGCTAGGCATTCACCTAGCTCTGACTTGCTATCCAACTAGCGGTCCAACTTCAGTTCTAAAATTGTTTTCATGACGGTGTACATCGCTTAACCAAAAATATATGGATTAAACTCTACGCAAAATATAATTAGGAGGAGGAAAATGGCAGCCTTGTGCTTGTCATTCTTATCATTTGAAAAAAAAAGAAGAAAAATGTTGGATGAAGAAATTATTTGTTGATCGTGTGAACTATTGTGACACGAAATTGCTCAATGTCATTAATGAGGATGATTACAAAAACTACCTCAGAATGGACAACTTCACTTTTTCGCTGTTGCTGAAAAAAGTTGGTCTACTCATTTCCAAAAAAGATATCGTCAAGCGTGAATGTGTCAGTACTGAACAACGCCTTACAGCAACTTTACGCTTTCTGGCCAATGGAAGGTCATTTGAGGATCTGTAGTTCAGCTGTAAAATATCTCCACAAGTATTGGGAAAAAATGATACCAGAAACTTGCAGGGCTATAATAGTTTTTTGTGCAATTGAAAGTTATTTTCTATTATTTATTTGCGAACTAGGGATCTTTGCTCAGCGATGTCGGACAAACAGCACCAATTGAGATTTTGTTTGGAGCTGATGTAAGCAAATTGTATACAGAGAAGAAATATCAGCTACAAAGTGATCTTGTAGTAAATTTACTATCTTAACAAAATTAGTTAGAAATTAAATGTATTTGACGTTTGGACTTCCACTTCGGAAATCGTTATCAAAATATTCCGAAGTTGACGTCGAAACTTCAAATAAATTTAATTTCTAACTAATATTAAGGCTTATTTCCAATTGAAATAGTAAATTTGTACAACTATGATTTAATTTTTGTTGTTTGTTGATAATTTCTCTGTAGCCAATCCGGAGTGTTGGAAATTGTACCTGTGTGGGAGTGTCCGAAATAGATCTATAGAAAGGAAAATGATTTATCCTAACAAAAAGTAGATGATGATGAAGAATCGTGTATTTTAATAGGAGTAATTTTCGTGCAATTAAAAGTTTATTTTGTATTAAATATTTGCGAACTAGGGATCTTTGCGTAAAGTGATTCATAGAACTCTCATACGTAACAGGTACCGAATGTCAACTGACGGAGGAAATTTTCGATCCGACCTGTGTTCCGACTGCAAACTTGACCACTCACGCTCCTACTTCGTCGCCAGTAGGAAGTCGGACCTTCAAGTCGTCCCTCTAGATGTTCTGACTCGTATCACTAGTTGTCCAACTAATCCAACCAGCCCATTCACTTGCTTCACAGCCCAACACTCAAATTCAATTGCCGAAGTTGGACCACTAGTCGGACTAAAAAGTCGGAAAGTGAATGGCCTGTTTAAACCTGTTTTTCGCTTTTAATTGTACTGCCCCTTAGGCAACAAAAATCAAAATATTTAAATAATATCTCATAATTGACCCACTTGACCCTATAGAAACGATCGTCAGATGACGATACTGATAACATTAAAGATTGAATTTCACCTAAAAAATGATTCAATAGCTTATAATGACTGAATCTTTATACATACCTTGCAGCTTTCAAACCCACGAAAAGCTCAGTTTGTCTAGCGGTTTTTCTTGGTTCCAGAATCGAATCTCTAGATAGTTTATTCTTCTCCAACTGGTCCAATTTTCGTTGCATATTTTGAATGGAAGTTTGTATGTTCCTAAGCATTTCCCTTTCCTCGCCTTTACTATCGTAAGTACAACACAGTAATTTAAAAAGACCCCCGAAAGAAAACTCAAAGGATCCCGCATTATGTTTTGAGTTACCCAAAAATGATAATGGTTGGTTTGCTGTTGACGCAGGAGCAGGCGCTGCTTTCGGTGCATTTTCCTGATTTGCCTTAAAAATATTTTAAAAACTTTAAAACGCAAAGGAATTACAGTAGCCAAATCATTTTCTAACTTGCAAATTTATAATCATAAAATTCGACCAAATACACAAAAACCAGTTTTTGTAAAAAAATCTAATCAGTGAACTATTTTATCTATATACTAAGATCTGTAGTTTTATTGATAAATTTTTTGTAATTTAACTTGATATATAGAACCGTTTACTTCTAGGTAATGTAAAAAAAATAATAATTTTAACTTAGCAAATGTTTAACACGTACTAATAATAATAATACTAAACATATTCAACTTTTTGTTCAGCCCATGTTCGTCTTCCGCTGGATATATGCCTTTTCCATTTGTTTCCACTGGAACCTATGGAATTCTAACAATACATTTCGAAAGCCGCACGATTCAGAGATCTATTAAGTAAACTGGTCACTTCTGTACATCAGGCTGGGCTTTTAAGCATATCATTTTAAGACTTGGATTAAGGGTTAAAGGAACTTCACGGGGAAGGATGACGGAGGTACGCTATTCTGGCCGCATCATCAGCATATCTTATTAATAGGAAGACCATTAATTTTGATGCCTTTTCGGTCTGTTGTGCAAGCTGAAATATCTGTTCTACATAAATGTTGAACTGTAGTAGAGAGAGAATACAACCCTGGCTTACGCCTTTCCTTATCTCCACTTCTTCTGGATATATTCATTCTGATATCTTTCATTCATTATCATTTTCATATCTTTGTAATCGACCAAAATTCCGTTTAACGTTTTTATCAATGGTTTATGTTTGACGTTGTCACAGATCTTTTGGTAATCAATAAAGCAAATAAAAATACACCTATTTTCTTGGGACATGGCACATTTGCACCAACAACTTCATGCCTCTCTTGTTTCCAAGCCGTTTTTGAAACCAAGTCCTGTTCTTTCTTCATTTAGTTATAAATTCGCTTCTGTTTCTTTGGTATTGTTAACAAAGTTGATTTTAGCCAATCTGTTGGTATTTGCTTCGTGTTGTATAATATAACTGTTGTATAACTGTAGCAATAATTATCAAACAGCATATTAATAAGTATGTCACTAACTTCATCCCAATATCAGACAGAGTAATTTTAATACAGCTGAATGCTAAACCTGTAAATATAAATATCATCCAAGTTTATGCTCCCACTGCTGACGCAGATGAGCAGAATATTGAAGAATTCTACCATCAAATAGAAGAAGTGCTAAAAATAACAAAGAAACACGAAGCAATAATAATTATGGGTGACTTTAACGCTAAAGTTGGACAGAATATGACGCAGGGCATCACCGGAAAGTTTGGCTTGGGAGAGAGAAATCAAAGAGGTGAACGGCTAATAGAATTCTGCCAAGAAAATGACTTCGCCATTATAAATACCTGGTTTCAACTTCCAGAAAGGCGTCTTTACACGTGGAAATCCCCTCAAGATGGACATCAAGGCAGAATAGTACGAATCAAATAGACTACATCCTAATAAACCACCGATTTCGAAACAATATTAAAGATGTAAAAACTTATCCCGGCGCTGACATAAACTCAAATCACAATTTACTCTGCTCCAAAATACAAATTAAATTGAAGAAATTAACAAAGCCAACTAAGCCTTGTAAGATATATCTCGATTCCCTGAAAAACCCTCAAACGCGCGAACACATAACACAGCAAATAAATAGTAAAATACACAGAATATCAAATATACCAAACGAAAACAGAACCATTAACGAATGCTGGTATGCCATTCAAAACTCGATTTTAGAGAACGTACAAGAGTGGACACCTACCATGTTGGAAAAAAATGAGTGGATGACACAAGAAATTCTAGATTTGATGGAAGTTCGACGGCAACACAAAAATAGAAATATTATCGAATATCGTGAAATTAATAAACGCATAAAAAGAAAAATTAAGCAAGCGAAAGAATCCTGGCTTGAGAATTTATGTAAAGAAATAGAAGACCTCCAAAAAAAGCATGACAGCTTCAACCTGCATAAGAAACTTAAATATACTGCCGGAATTAGAAAACAGAAAAATGCTCACATACTTAAAAGCGCGGACGGAAAAATTTGTGATCACGAACAACAGTGCAAAGAATGGGAGAGATACATCACTGACCTTTTTGACGATGCTTCTAGGGAAAATGCTACAAATACTGCCTATGACAATCAGTTGGACAGATGTCCCAATATACTGAATTCGGAAGTCGAGAAGGCAATACAGCAAGCCAAAAACAATAAAGCACCTGAACCAGATCAAATCCCTGCCGAACTACTTAAACTTTTGGATGAGGAAAGCATTGCCCGCTTAACCACTTTCTTCAACAAAATTTACAACGAAGGAAAAATACCAGATGATTGGTTAGAGTCACTATTTATAACATTACCAAAGAAAAGCAGGCCCACCAAATGCAGCGATTTTAGACTAATCAGTTTGATGAGTCACACACTGAAGATACTCTTACGAATTATACAAAACCGAGTATTCCTTCTATGCGAAAGTAAGATGGGTGATAAGCAATTTGGATTTAGAAACGGTCTAGGAACTAGAGAGGCACTATTCTGTATGAGCGCTCTATTACAAAAAAGTTGTGAATTCCGAAAGAATGTTTATGTTTCATCGACTTCGAGAAGGCCTTCGACAGAGTCCAACACAATACACTTTTCGACTGCCTACGGGCAGCAGGACTTGACCACTATGATATAAGACTGCTGAAATACTTATATTACAATCAAGTAGCCTCTATCCAAATTGGAGACATTCCAACTGAAAAAATACCCATCAAACGTGGAGTACGGCAGGGTTGTGTTTTGTCACCCACTCTTTTTAATCTGTACTCTGAAGAAATCTTTAGGGAGGCTTTGGATGACAGACAAGAGGGAGTAAGACTAGGTGGAGAAGTAATCAACAATATTAGATACGCTGACGATACAGCCATTCTTGCAGAAAGTTTACAAGATCTCCAAACATTACTAAATCTAGTCAGTGAAGCAAGTTATCGGAGAGGCCTAAAAATCAACATTTCAAAGACAAAGTGGATGGCAGTTGGAAAGATCCATATAGATCAAGGTCTGCTTTCTCTTAATGGAGAAGAGATAGAAAGAGTAAATCATTTCAAATACCTTGGCAGCTGGTTAAATGTAAATTGTGACTCTGATGAAGAGATAATATCCAGGATCGAAATATCACGTAAGGCTTTTATGACCTGGAAACCAGTTTTATGCAACAGAAACCTGTCAATGAATATTCGTAAGAAGGTCCTGAAATGTTATGTGTGGTCGATCCTATTGTATGGTTGTGAGACATGGACGTTAAAAACCACAATGCTAAACAAGTTAGAAGCATTCGAAATGTGGTGCTATAGACGAATTCTAAAGATATCGTGGGTTTCGCACACTTCCAATGAAGGTGTCCTTCAAATGATCAACTCAGAACGTCTGCTCATAAACACCATAAAGAGGAGAAAAACAGAATACTTCGGCCATATAATTAGAGGACCCAAATACCATTTACTTCGCCTTATAATACAAGGAAAAGTGGAAGGAAAGAGATGGATTGGTCGAAAGAAACTTTCATGGCTGCGGAATATTAGACAATGGTGTGGTTTCACAGTAGAAGAATTATTTCGCGCAGCAGCCGACAGAGAAAGGTTTCAGGAAATTGTAAACATGATGACGGCCAACGTCTGAATACGGACACGGCACCCAAAGAAGAAGAAGATAACTGTTTGACATATTATGTCAAACAGTTTTCAGTCAAACGTTTATTATCAAATAGCTTAAGATTTACGCATTTTTACCATCTGGTCCAACCGCATAATGGTTTTTTAAACTATAGATTGCATATTCTACTTCTGACTCCAATATTGGTGCCCCAATTAATTTTATTTTTGTATCATAGGTATTACGATTTTCAGAGAAAAAATCTGGTATATTTCCTTTAAATCCAATATAATGCTGTTGCTTTTCATTATTTTGGAAACGTTTGTTTTCCTAAAGGAATTTTTTATCTCTTTAATTTTCTATGAAAGTTGAAGGAGTCATGTTTCAAAAGTAGCAGTTCTATCCATGTATTTTTTGTCTCTTTTATTTTCCTTCTACTAATTATTTTGTATTCTTCTTTATTCTTCTTTCTATTTTCAATTTTTTTTCTTCCATCATGTCTAGAATTTCCTCTGCGATCCAATTTTTCACAACTTTTATATACAACTAAGCTACAGAAAACTCTTCTGGAAGATTACGGAATATTAAAAATTCATTTATACAGATATTGTATGGCTTACCTCTGGCGGTTTAGGTGCTACAGTGACCTCCCGGGTACCCCATGATACATTATTCATGTTAAATATTGAATATATTACCAACAACATATACATGCTGGGAATAGTAACATAGTAAATAATTAAATATTTGAGGCAGTAGAATTCTTGCGGATGCATTAACGCCGCTATCAAAAACTCTCCCATTGTGGCCACTAAGAAAAGAGATGAAGGAGCCAGCCAACCATCTTGTTCGATCTGGATCATCATACCAACGAATACTGTCATCATGATAAGACCATACACTCCAGTGATAAGAGCAGCAAAGAATAACTGAAAAAGAAATAAGAGTTAACAAATATGTCAATTTAAATTATTTATATATTGTATACATATAGTAATTGTATATTCTGTAGGATTTTGTCAGTCATTTCATGATTCATAATACAATTATTCTTTTTTTTTCAACAACAATTTTTTTTATTATATCTACACTAAACGGCAAAAAAAGTGGCCACCCTATTAATTTACGGAAATAAAAATTCATTGGAAGTTTTATGAACTGTTTCACCCCCTCTGTGGCTCAGTGGTAAGAGCGCCTGCCTTTAAACCTAAAGGTCGTGAGTTCGAATCCCACCTGGGTGGAAATTTTCGTTTATTAAAAAAATTAATAAATGAAAATAATTTCTATCCTTGTGTGATCGGTACATACCGGGGGGACCGCAGACGTTCGGATACAATTAGCGTCTCTTAGCAAAGACAATGACGTCGACTTTGCAAAGTATCAAGACAATTACTCTACACACACACACACACACACACACTACACCTCAAATTGTAAGATTGGCGAATGGATTTAGTGTCCGCAGTCATTTAAACACAAACAAACAACAACAATGAACTGTTTCATATTTCCTGTCAAAATAAATATTTATTGCAATCATATATGTTTATTTTTGACAGTTTTGACGTTTATGACGTTGTTTTCTGTCGTCGCTGTTTATCTTCTAAGTTGAAAACATTTAATCAAACGGTATTTTCGCTTTTCAAACTTGAATTTCAACTAAGCAAATAATTCAGATATGGTGTTATCTACAGTAGATGCTTCTCGAATTATTGCATGGATACAAGACGGAAGAAGTCAAGTTTGTGTATCCGAAACTTAAGTATTCGATATTCCGAGAACTTAAGTACGGAGAGCTCTCCATCGCTTTATATCAACTGGCACATACTCACGTCGACCTTGTTCCGGTCGTTAAAGAGTTACGTCTCAAAGAGATGATCGTGTTATTATGATGGAACTTTTAAAAAATCGCCATGTCACTGCAACTGCTGCAAGAAACCATCTGCAGGAGGTTCTAAATGTGAATGTAAGTGAGAGAACAGTTAGAAGACGCCTAAATGAAAGAGGATTAATGGAAAGAAGGCCACCTATTGTTACCAAATTACAACCTCCAGACACTGTAGGAATCGATAAATTTTTGCTCGACAACATGAACACTGGGATATACAGAATTGGAGCCAAATTCTCTTTACTGATTAATCAGGGTTCTGTTTAAAGTCTGGATTTGGTGGAGAGAGGGTTTGGAGACTGAGAAATGAAAGATATGCCAAAGCTTGTATGCCCCAGAGAAAAAAGTTTGGCGGTGGTGGTGTCATGCTTTGAGCTGGAATCTTATTTGAAGCTCGAACTGGACTTATATTCATCAATGGCCGCTTGAATGCTCACTAGTAGATAGAGAATGCTTTGGCAGAAGCAATAGTTCTATTTGGTCCATTTATTGGGGACAATTTCTTTTTTATGCATGACAAGGCATGGCCGCATACTGCAAGAATTGTGTTAATACTCGGTCAATTATTGTACAAGGAGTTAATACTCTAGAATGGTCAAACTACAGCCCTGATCTGAATATCGTTGAATATCTTTGGGATGAATTTGAACTTTGGAGATGAAGTCTTGCAGAAAGAAATCAAGCAGTAATGGCTATTTTTTGTTTTAAAATGAAAGCTGTTTAGAATACAGTATAAAACAGTGCATAAAGTTTTATGCACTAAAAACAGTAGTATATCATTTAAAACAATATAATTTTAATATAAATTTGATTCTAAAGAACACCCTAATGGGTATATATTATTTTATTACTTTTTAAAAACTACCTATCACTTGTCTTGAAGGTTGTGTTATTTCAAAAAAAATTTTACTTCCGGGTGACAACAGTTGGTTGTTGAATTAAGTCTTAAGAATTATAATGTTCTTTACTCAAATTATGTAATTTAAGGGTCATATGACCTCATTATGTGGCTAGTTCAAACTCCTTTATAGATGTAAGTACGTATTAACCACATTTTCAATTTAACAGTCAAAATTTTACCCTTTTGTTTTCAATTTTAAGTGGTTATACTTATTTGTAGGTTTTCACTGATGATGATCTGATAGGATCGAAAACGTTCTATAAACAGATAAAACGGCAATAGAGGCCTTTGTACTGGCGTGGGATGCTAGGAGTGTTTTGGACTGAGAAAAGAAATAATTCATACCATAGTTGCTGCAAATATTGCCATATTCCTTGGCGAAGTTATTAAAAGAAATGGTTTGGAAAGCCTTACAGTGGGCGGCATGGTTCACGAAAAAAGAAGTCGAGAAAGATCGCTATCTTATTTTCCCTAATTTCGGGAACACAAAAAAAGTTTCAAATAAAAGTTATATTATTTTATCTGTACCGACCAACAATGTAGCAACAGACCAAAATTTGTATACAGGGAGTGCCCAATAAAGTGCATTTTCAATATTTCAAATGGGACACCCTGTATTTTTTTTATAGTTTTGAGTAGCCCTGTATTTTTGATTACCCATATATAACATTGTGTAGCATTAGTTCTGTTCTATAATGGCATATGGTACTACAAAAGGGTAACCATAGATGGCTATACAACTGACATTTCAAAATGAAACAATTATCAATTTATTATAAACTGTCAGTCCTCATACCGAAATGGGTTATACTGCACATGAAAAAGTAGATATATTCTCAATTTATGTAAAAAATAATAAAAACAAGCAAGCGGCAAGAAGAGAATATAGGCTGATTTATCCTTCTGCAAATACATTTTTATTTAATTATCGTCATGTCATAAATAAATAAAATGTCAAGATTTTAATACGTTGCTTTACTTTGAAGGTAAAAATTAAATACTTAAATAATAGATTAAATCCATAACAACATTTTTATTTTAGAAAATTTCGAAACTAGTCTAAACAATGCTACTAATGCATTAGAGAAAAGCCGTGCGACGATACATAGAGTTTTGAAGAAGCACAACTATAAGCCGTACAAAATATTACCGGTACAAGAACTTACCGATATTCATAAGAGAAAGCGTTTACAGTTCTGTCAAGACGTCAAGACATGCTTACAAATTTGAACAATGATCCTAATTATTTTTATAACATTTTATGAACAGATGAATAAAATTTTTCAACTTCAGGCCATTTTAATAGAAGAAATATAAGTTCGTGGGAACAGAAAAATAATAGAAAAAGAAAAATTAAGCAAATAAAAAAGTCAGGAAGAAAATCAATAAATGTGTGGTGCTTAATATTTCAACACCAAATAGTTGGACCATTGTTTTATGATTATAAATTAACTGGGGAATCATATTTGGTCACAGTCATTACAGAAATGGATGAGTTATTAAATCAAAATTATACACAAAATCAATTAAATAGTATGATTGAGCACCGCCACATAATGTCGTAGCCCTTCAAGAACATTTAAATAATCAATTTAATGTGTGGATCGGCAATAAGGGTACCAATACATGGCCACCAAATAGTCACGACTTAACACTGCTTAACACCATGTGATAGCTTTTTATGGAAGTTTTTAAAAGAAAAAGTGTATTTTGATTCAAATACAAATATTAACACTATCACGGCAAAAGTTCTCGCGGAAATTGAAAATTTAAATGGTCATATTAACACAATATCTGACGCATTAGAAAATTTTAGACGAAGATATTAATTGTGCATTGATAACAATAGAGGCCACTTTGAGCATCTATTATAATCTTAAATGCAGTATTGTATCTTTAATGTAGTATTGTCATTGATTTTGTTGACTTTCTAAATATATTTTTTCTTATCTTAGTATAGTATAGTAGTACCATACGCCATTACAAAACAAAACTAATGTTGCCCTATGTTATATATTGATAATTAGGAAATGCAGGGCTACTCAAAACTATAAAAAAATACAGGGTGTTCCATTTGAAATATTAAAGATGCATTTTATTGGGCACTCTCTGTATACAAAATTTGGACTGTTGGTATACTGTGGGTGGGTACAGATAAAATAATACAACTTTTATTTGAAACTTTTTTTTGTATTCTCGAAATTAATGAAAATAAGTGGGGGTCAAAATATAATGAGAAACCTTGTACAATGTTATTACGAAACGTACCTTCCATAATCAATAAAAAATAGTAAGCGTATACCTGTAATATATTAAAACTTTTTTTATGCAATACGGGTATAAATCGGTTTTACTGCAAAGAATTGGTTTATTGTACATTGTGTATAATACAGGGTATGTGTTGAGTAATTGCCCTGTTACTAAGTATAGTAGTCTTTATTGTTATTAAAAAGAATCTCTTATTATATTCGAATGACTGCTGATCTCGGGTGAGTACTGATCCAACAACGAAGAGATTCTTTTTTATACAAACTCTCATCTCAGTCTCGATTCGGACTCATAACCCACGGATTTTAAATATTAAATTTTAATTGAAATATTAAATTAATATTAAAACTTACTTGTGTATCTGATTTACACGTGGCACATACTATTATAAAGACGAGAACTGGGGCAGCATTCCAAATCAAGCTCTCGTATTGTGAAATTTTAAAAGCAGCCACAAAAGCTCCAACTAACATAAGAAAAATAGTTCCAGGACCAATTACTGTACCAATCATAATGACTACCTGCAAAACACGAAGATATTAAAATTAGAACAAAAGCAAATGCCTATAAAAGCAGTTTCAAATTTAGCCTCATCTTTCATTAGTTCTTAAACTTCCCAAATTGTTCTAAAACAGCTATGTCGTAATTATTGTTAGTTCTGTCCATTTCCCTTAGTTTATTATAAACCTTGGTTTATGGAGGTAATACATACAATAAATAAATGTACTTAATTAAATCTAATATAATTCTTACTTGATACAAAATGTATAATTTGGATATGTTGTCGTTGATTGAAACAATATGTTTGTAATCTGTCAGTAAATCCATAATATTTGCTGTGGTGGAAGGCATCCATCTTCTTCGTTGATTATAAAATTCATTAAAACCTTCTGGACAATGGGTGTAGGCATCAGAAGCTGCTGAATATTCTACACGGTAACCTCTCTGCAATAATAACGTACACAGCCAACGATCTTCACCTAAAATATCAAACAACGAATAATACGTATCTAGAAACTATTATATTCAATAGTTTTCATACATTTTAAGTCCTTTTTAACAATGAGGAGGTAAGATAAGGACACCATTATTTCTCCCAAACTATTCACCCTTGCTCTAGAAGACGTTAGACATTAGATTCGAAGAGATTAGAATGAAACAACAAGGGTATAAAATAGACAAATTATACTTAAACTATTTAAGATTTGCAGATGACATAGTTTTAATAGCAGATAATATCCAAGAACTAAACGAAATGTTACAATAATTAAATGAAGTTTCCGGAGCGGCAGGCTTAAAATGAACTACAGTAAAACAAAAATGAGCCAGGACCAAACAAATATAACAATACAAAATCATACCATAAAAAATGTTGAGCCTTATGTATACATGTGTCATATCATCATGTTGGGAAATCCAAACAACTGCAACAACACCTCCATTCCTATGAACTTAAAGAAAGAGGTGTATAATAGCTGCATTATACCAGTTTATACCTACCGGCTGGAGACCACAGCCCTTACCAGAAAATCTGCTAAAAAATAGAAAGCGCAATGAAACGAAACATGCTAGGAATATTACTGAGAGATAAGATTTGAAACATCGAGAGAAGACAATAAGATGTAGAACGAAGATCAGGGATATCGTGGAAGAAATTAAAAAAAATAGAATGACGCTGGGCCGGCCACATAACCAGATAACAGCTGGACACGGAGAATCCTAGAAAGGAGAGCAAGGAGGACGACAAGAAGCATGCGAGGACATCAAAAGGGATGGGTAGAAGACATAAGCGCAGTGGCAGGCACAATGGATTAGATTGGCATAAGATAAAGAAAAATTGAAGAAATTAGGAGATACCTACAATCAGGTGTAGATGAAAAATGGTTGACGAAGAAGATTTATCACAACAATACTAACGACAACAATATAACACTAACAACACTTATTTTCAAATAAACGATTTTTTATAAACAAGTCTTTGGATTAGCCATGGGCTCTTCATCTTCTCCATTATTAGCAGATATATTCTGGTCTAATGGACCAGAAGCACTGAACACATTTTTGATGAAAATCAACTATAAAGAAGAACCAATTAAATTCACCATGGAAAAGGAAAACAATAACTACCATTTTTAGATGTGGTAATCATAGAGGAGGATATTGGATATGTAACAAAAGTTACTAGAAACCCTATCTACACCAACAGATATTTAAATTATTCTTAAAACGATAACATAACTATCAAAACATAAATAATCAAATTACTATAGGATACAGCCCAAACACGTGCTCATGTTAATAAAAGATGATTATCCATTGGGAATTTAAAAAAAAATTCCACAAGCCTGAAGAAAGACGAGGAAAAGGATATGAAATAAATAAATTACAACAAAATTTAAAACAACCAAAACATTGAGATCTATTCTTTCCAAAACAATACCAACAACTCACAGGAGGGATCAAGAACTGCAGTTATAAAATACCTTGCTAATGCAACAATTTTTATCTGGGAGAAACTTCAAGACCACTAAATGTTTGGATAAATGAACATAGTTCATACATATAAAATAATAAGTAAGCATTCTGTGTTTATTACGTTTATAAAAATAAATAACGAATTTTGCAACCACGCTCTAAAGCATTAACCTTCGCATTCGAATGACATATTGCTATATCTTTCCAATTCTGCTATATGGGGTGAAAATGTGAACTCTAAGTTTAATCATAGCTAGACTTAAATGCTTGAAAGCCTTTGAGATGTGAGTATAACCCAACAACACAACTGGTCAATATAATAAAGGGACGCAAGCTGGAATATTTCGTTCACAATATTAGACTACTCTGAAGAATATGAATGTTTGCATCTGATCATTCAGGGAAAGATTTAAGGTAAACGTGGCCTTGGTAGAAGAAGAACATCATTGCTGAAAAATGGTAAAAAAGACAATGAAACTGAAAATTGATTACATTTTCAATAAAGTCACGATAGCGAATAGGTATTTTTGCCAACATCATATCCAGTGATCGATAACGGTCATGGAACTAAAAGAAGAAGATTATATGTTTATTATTCTATAAACTTTACCTTGATCATATTGTACATAGTGTCGTGCTTCTGAAGATTCTGTGGTATATTTTGCCATAACATTGTCATCCATAAGGGCTCCAGCTCTGAATAAAGAAAAACAACCAGGACTACAAAGTACACAACCAATGACGTGTTCGGTTGCTTTTTGAAGCCAATGACCAACGGCATATTCAAAAACCTGATACCAAGCCATTGCACCTGAACCGACTGGATGAATTCTACCACATGCAGCTCCCAAGCTGGAGTTTTTCTTCATGTAATCCACCAAGAGATGTACGGCAGCGGGTTGAAAATCGATATCTCCGTCTAAAGCAAGGATATATGTATTGTGGGCCATGTTTTTAATTTCTGTTGCTTCAAGCTGATCGTTGTCCATAATCCTGAAATGCAATATATACAGGGTTGAGATAAAGTATGGAACCAACTAAATATCTTTGAAACAAAAAAGATGCTGTTGATGAAAATGCATGCAAGTACAATGACACATAACGCATCTGACGTCATATTTTTTGTCAATACCTTACTTCCGGTTTAAATTAACCTATTTAATTTAAAAATGACATCCTGTATATTTTTGAAGATTTTAAAAGAACTTGCTATTTCTAATTATACATACCAAGTATTGTGAAAAAAATTCGTCAAAACGAACAGTAAATCACTTTACAGTTAAAGAATAGGTAAAATTTACTAAATCTATTGCACTAAGGGAATACTAAATGGCGAGGAAGATCACCCTGTAGGCGCACACAAATAAGAAACATATCCCCGATTGATCAGTTCGGAAGAGATATGGGGGTAATCTTTAGAAAAGATATTGATCCGAAATAACAACATCTATATATATATATATATATATATATATATATATATATATATATATATATATATATATATTTATATATATATATATATATTTAAAATATATTCAATAGTTGAATAGCAGATATTGTATCGGTCAATAATAGGCAAATGAAAGTCGTCAACTACTTCATTGATTTAATTGAATACGTTTCGCTTTTTGTTTTCAAAAGCATCATCAGTTCACTACAAATAAAAATAAAAAGTTTAAAATATAAGTAAATAACCAAAAGGGTTCATACTTATTTGTAGGTTTTTTTAAAGATGTTAAAAACACTCTACGATAACTTAACATTAAAAACTTAAAAACTAAACAATAGAAACGAAACAATAAACACACAAGAAAAGACTGAAAGAGCACTATTGTTTATTTAATTTTTACCGATGGCTTCATCTCAATGTGGGTATAAGCTCTTTCGAAGATCCAACACACTAATCTCTTAGATTGTTTTCTATCGGTTGTAGGCTGTCATATTTGCACATTTGGCTTGTGTCGTACATATGTTCTTTGGAAAGCAGTGAGGTACAATTATTAAAAAAGTTAGTAAACAGAATGGGGACAGCCCTATTTTTCAAAAAGGAATATTTTTTTCCCTCCTTTGTCTTTAAAAAAACAAACAAACAAACAAAAAAAAAACAAAAAAAAAAATTTAAAAATAGGGAAAGAAGAAGGGGAATGAAGTTACTATCTTGTAAGTGTTTGTTTTTTATTATTTGTTGTGTATGATGAGAGAGTGATATATCTGGCTCGAGTTGTCGATGTCGGTTCTTTTATTTAGGGATGATGGATGTTTAAGGATTTCAAGGATAGAACGCTTATGATAATTTTTTTGTTTGTACAGTATTTTGGTATTAGTGAAGTCGATACTGTGTTTGGTTGAAATGGCATGTTGTGCAAGGGCACAGGATGGTTTTAAAATCCTAATGTCGCTTTTATGGGACGTTTGTCGACCTTGAAGAGAACGGCTGGTCTGGCCAATGTAGCAGGAGTTGCACTCCGCACAGGGTACATGATAGACGACGTTAGTTTGTTCTAGAGGGCCAATGGAGTTTTTGTCTTGGAAAATCACTTTCCTATGGCCAGATATATCACTCTCTCATCATACACAACAAATAATAAAAAACAAACACTTACAAGATAGTAACTTCATTCCCCTTCTTCTTTCCCTATTTTAAATTTTTTTTTGTTTTTTTTGTTTGTTTGTTTGTTTTTTTAAAGACAAAGGAGGGAAAAAAATATTCCTTTTTGAAAAATAGGGCTGTCCCCATTCTGTTTACTAACTTTTTTAATAATTGTACCTCACTGCTTTCCAAAGAACATATGTACGACACAAGCCACATGTGCAAATATGACAGCCTACAACCGATAGAAAACAATCTAAGAGATTAGTGTGTTGGATCTTCGAAAGAGCTTACACCCACATTGAGATGAAGCCATCGGTAAAAATTAAATAAACAATAGTGCTCTTTCAGTCTTTTCTTGTGTGTTTATTGTTTCGTTTCTATTGTTTAGTTTTTAAGTTTTTAATGTTAAGTTATCGTAGAGTGTTTTTAACATCTTTAAAAAAACCTACAAATTGTTTTGTAAGTATGAACCCTTTTGGTTATTTACTTATATTTTAAACTTTTTATTTTTATTTGTAGTGAACTGATGATGCTTTTGAAAACAAAAAGCGAAACGTATTCAATTAAATCAATGAAGTAGTTGACGACTTTCATTTGCCTATTATTGACCGATACAACCTCTGCTATTCAACTATCTGTCGTATTTTTTGCTATATATATATATATATATATATATAATTAATATGTATGTATATATATATATTTATATATATATATATATATATATATATATATATATATATATATATATATATATATATAATTAATATATTCTCAACCCAACGTAATTTTTAGATATAAAAGATAAATATTTTGCTTCACCCAAATTTTTTAAGAGTCGATTGGGAAATCTAATTAATACAAAAAAAGTATATATATATATATATATATATATATATATATATATAATATTATATATATGTATGTGTGTGTTTTATGTTGTAGTGAGTGAATGAGAAGGACAGACATTGACGGTCGACAGACTGGTCTTATGGCTCTTTAGAGATAATTATGTATTACTATTAGTTTGTCTTGTAATAAATAAAATATACAAAAATGAGTCGTCTATTATAACAAAAAGCCCACAGAGTAGAACAAACATGGTGTCACAAGTTTCATCAGAACGTAATTTTTAGATATAAAAAATAAGTATTGGGCTTCACCCAAATTTTTAAAGAATCTATTGGGGAATCTATATATCTATTGTTTCAAAAGATTTCCTCGGTTAGTACAATTAAATCTAGAGCTAAGAACTCAACATGATATTAAAAGTGATGGCCCGATTAAAAATACTTTTTTATGTCAATATAAAAATATCATGTACATAAATATAGAGGGTTTCTCATTATATTTTGACCCCCCACTTATTTTCTTTAATTTCGGGAATATAAAAAAAGTTTCAATAGAAAAAATATATTTATAAAGTCAACATAATTAATGACTTACAACTTTTGCCGTGATGGTGTTAATATTTGTATTTGAATCAAAATACACTTTTTGTTTTAAAAACCCCCATAAAAAGCTATCACATGGTGTTAAGTCGGGACTATTTGGTGGCCATGTAATCGTACCCTTATTGCCGATTCACACATTAAATTGATTATGTAAATGTTCTTGAACGGCTACGACATTATGTGGCGGTGTTCCATCTTGTTGCCATATCATACTATTTAATTGATTTTGTGTATAATTTTGATTTAATAACTCATCCACTTATGTAATGATTGTGTCTAAATATGATTCCCTAGTTAATTTATAATCATAAAACAATGGTCCAACTATTTTATTTTGAAATATTCCTCACCACACAATTATTGATTTTCTTCGTGACTTTTTTATTTGCTTAATTTTTCTTTTTCTATTATTTTTCTGTTCCCATTAATACCTATTTCTTCTATTAAAAATGCCTGATGTTGAAAAATTTGATTCATCTGTTCATATTCCATAAAATAATTAGGATCATTGTTCAAATTTTTAGGCGTGTCTTGAAAGAACTGTAAACGCTTTCTCTTATGAATACCGGTAAGTTCTTGTACCGGTAATATTTTGTACGGCTTATAGTTGTGCTTTTTTAAAACTCTTAAATGTATCGTCGCACGGCTTTTCTCTAATGCATTAGTAGCATTGTTTAGACTAGTTTCTGAATTTTCTAAAATAAAAATGTTATGGATTTAATCTATTATTTAAGTATTTAATTTTTACCTTCAAAGTAAAGCGAAGTATTAAGATCTTCATCATCATTTCCTACGATAGTACGTTTCTTCCGTTCAAACATTTTTTTATTTATGACATGACGATAATTATATAAAAATGTATTTGCAGAAGGAGTCTGTCGATCTGGATAAATTAGCCTATATTCTCTTCGTGCCGCTTGCTTGTTTTTATTATTTTTTACATAAATTGAGATTATATCTACTTTTTCATCTATAGTGTAACCTAACTAACGCTACACAATGTTATATATGAATAATCACGAAATGCAGGGCTACTCAAAACTATAAAAAAATACAGGGTGTCCCATTTGAAATATTGAAGATGCATTTTATTGGGCACTCCCTGTATATAAAATTTAGTCTGTTGCTACATTGTTGGTCGGTACATTTAAAATAATACAACTTTTATTTGAAACAAGTAAAAATTTCACAACATAATCTAATCTAACCTAACACTTTAAATACAAAATTAAATTTAACTAGAAACTTACCTGAATCCTAATAAATAATACATGTACATAACCTGTGACCATCGTTTCTTAGCCCTTATTTTGGCCTTATCTTTTAAATGCGCTATCATCTTAGTTTTACCTGGTAATGTCCATTCTAATCTGCCCCCATATGGAGTTGAGTATACAGTTGGTGGTTTAATTTTACAATTCACAGCATGTACTTTACTAGCCGCATCACTGACAGTATCAATTAAAGATAGAACATATTCATTAACATGAGGATCTTGGTCATCTTGTGACTGTCGAATAAAGGCGTCATCGAAGAATATATGAGCTAAAATAAACATATTTTTATTATAGAATATTCTAAAACAGATTCATTTTAAAAGAAGAAACTATTTGAGAATTTTGAGATAATTTTGTACTGGTAAAGTTCGTAAAATGGTAAACATTTAAAAAATATAAACGATGTGCCTGTTATCCGGGATTCTGGTAGTCAAAATTATAACAAATAAAAAAAAAAACGAAAGATATGACAAACTTACGAAATCCAAAAGTCTGCTGGCGTACTTTCCAGAATCAAAAGTGCCGATGCATGCATACGGAATAATTTAGTAGTAAAATGTTTCAAAATTCTAAATTGCAAAAGGGTCTTATGCCGACATATAGATAAGAGAGAATAGTTGCTTCCAACCATCATATTAAGAGTTTATATTATACGTTCTTACTAACTAGAACTTCTTCATCAAAAAGATCAGAAGAAGCAGAGTAGGGGAAATGTGCCTATGATGGTCCCCTTAAGAAAATAGCTTCATAATAATTTTAATTATTTACTTAGCAGACTTTAAATATGACCACATAACGTCTCGTTATTTGTACAATATGGCAAATGTTTCAAATTTTGCAGAAAAAGTAATGTTAAAAATTTATTCATAATTTACTAAAATCCTGTTAAGTCTTTATATCTTATATATCTTTGGTACGCCCATGATGGACTCGTTGCATTTTGTGTAAAATAATTAAATACCAAATTATTTTATTAGATCAAAAGACATTACAAACGATAAAAAATATTACACATGGTATTTTTAAGAATAAAAAAATTACGCGCATAATTCACTAACAAATTGTTTATGTCGAGAATTTACATCTGCACTTTCAGTGTGACACCAATTCTTACACACTTGATAACGAATCCATTTTTAATTGGATCGTGAATGCGAAAATAGTTCGTTACAGTAGATGCAAACTGCATCGTCCGAGTCGCCTTCTACAAAAGAGCATTCACAATCGTGTTCAGAACCACTTGTAGTTGAAACACGAACTTGCCTTTTCACTTTTCTGGCGTCTTGTTTTCTTTTTTTTTGCTTCTTTGTCTGCAATTTTTTGTTTTATATCTTCAATTTCTGACGTTGAATTTAAATATCCTATTTTACCCCGTTTTCTACCCCTTTCTGCATTACTTGAGATACTCCAGCTAAAGGATGAGGATAAATATCTTCTACCGAGATGTTTAGAACTGACGATGATGTTGATTTCTGATCAGTGGGGCAAACTTTCAATCGAAGAAACATTTTGGCTCCAATGTTCCGGTGGTGACTTCTGGTCAGAACATTCTGGCAGTGGGTTTTGTTCAGAATTTTCTCTATCTGTTGTTATAGACGACAAAAATTGCCAATCCTCGAAGACATCTGGATTGAATGGTTGTATTCCTGTCTTTTTAAATGCGTTGATTGCATTTGATGGTAAAGCACTTTTTAAATACGCTCTATTAAAGAGACTGGGTCACCGTTTTACCTGGATTCTGTCGCAGCCATAATTGAATTTCTTGGCCGTAGTTAATTTGAAGTGATCTAAAAAATCCTACGTCCAAGGGTTGAACGTGATGAGAACAGTGAGCAGGAAAACAAAATATAATAATACCGTTTTCCTTTGCAAACTGGAGAGCTTCAAAACTTTTGTGACTACCATGGCCATCGAGTAACAACAAAACTTTGTTGGTTTTAGAAGCCTTTGTATACCTTAAAAAATGTTGCAGCCACAAATAGAAAATATCGAAAGTCATCCATCCTTTTTCTTGAGCGAAGGCTATACTTCCAGTAGGTGCATCGATCATAAGTTCATCTTTCTTTCTCTGTCGAGGAAAAATCAAAGCAGGAGGAACATATGTTCCAATTGCATTCATTGCATATACGACCGTAACATGTAGACCGCGCTCTGCACTACTTAAAGCACCAACTTGTTTGCGACCTTTACTAGCATAAATTTTCTGCGATTTCTTTTGCACAGTTGTCAAACCGGACTCGTCCATATTATAAATGTTTTTCGGTGGAAAGTGAAACTCGTCTAATATATTTGCTAATGCAATAAAATGGGCACATATATTTGGTTTATTAAAAGCTTGAGCCCTTGCCAACGAAGTATTTTCTGGAGTGCGTAATGATATTCGAGGATTTCGCTTTAAAAAGCCTCTGATCTATTTCCAGCCTGTCATCCTGGTTTCCCTATTAAAATTGTGGCTAATATTGTTTCTTTCAGCTACTTCGTATACAAGTTTTCGCAAATCTTTACTAGTCAGGCCAAAAAAACGAGTTTCCATAGTAATAATATGGTCAGCAACTTCCTGTTCAATAGTAGTGGAGAATATTGGTCTTCGTCCTCCCAAATCACCTTTGATACTTCCTTGATGCTTAATAAAGCGCCTTTTCAAAGTCGTTTTTGGAACGTTAAATGTTTTTGCTGCCAGCTTAAACCCCATAGTTTTTTCTTGTATGCTTTTTAGATCTTGTTGCATATTACTCTCGTTCCACTGTTGCCTTTTTTGTAGAGCCATTCCTGTAAAACATATTATGTTAATCATTAAGTAACAAAAACTGAAGGTGTGTCCAATTTTATTTTCTTTTTCCTATGATGGACCCCTAGTCCCTCATAGGTAACGACACAGGGGTCCATCATAGGCAAATAGACAAGGCAGCAAATTTAATTCTGTTACTTTTGTTTTGACCATTTTAACCTAAAACAAAGTATAATATTTGACAAAGAAAGTGTAATCATTTTATACAAAACAAAAGCAACACTTAGCTTAACGTATGTTACCAGTAAAATGCTACTTCCCAAAAAAAATTATTAGATCAGCAACGCCAAATTTTAATTTTATTTCACAAATTTACTGTTATAACAGCCACGTGTCTGAAACTTTGCAAATACATACTAAACTACAAACTTCGTGCGCAAGCGGCAACCGGCGATGTGTAGATAACCGCGCGCTATTTAAAATTACAGCCGGGGGTCCGTCATAGGCAGATGTCCAACATAGACACACTTCCCCTAGTTGTTAGAAAAAATTCTAGCTAAGTGACACACTAACGTAAGTAAAAAATCTGAACTGTTCCAATAACCATATACTTATACCAGGAATATAAATGAAAAAAAGCGATTTTGTTTTTGTTAATGTATGTATCTTTTGACCATATTTACGTACTTTCCAACTCGTAGTAATCAGGCAATTGGAACTGTAAATATTGTCGGACAATTCTGTGAGCACATTGGTCCTCATCCAATCTAAAGACAGATTTTAAAAATTCAACCATTTCTTCTTTAGTCTCATGCCACATAGTCGCGCATGCATATATCCTTGTTATTTTATCATGAGTCAAATTTTCGGTTTCTAGAAAAAAAAAAAATTATTTATATCACTTTTTGTAGATTTTATCGGAATTAAATTATCATTGTGAATATAAAATATTTATAAACAGTTTAACATCCTCAATCTCATAATGGCTCAAATATATTTAGAAGAATAGAAAAAAATATATTCTTAAAGTGTGTAAATATTTATTTTCTAACTAAGCGCTTTCGGCTTACAAAGCCATCCTCAGAGTTATGATCAAGTTTTTAAAAGTACCACTATTTAAGAGAAGTATCATTTGGTGAAAAAATTCAAAATTTTACCTTTTCTTTATAAAAGTTAAGTTATAAAAACTTCTTTGAAAAAACACATAAGAGACGAAACATTGGACTCCACAAAAAACACAGTTATCCACATGTTCCGTCTCTTGTATTTTTTTAGAAGAAGAAGTTTTTATAACTTAACTTTTATAAAGAAAAGGGAAAATTGTGGATTTTTTCACCAAATGGGATCTCTCTTTCTACTATTTGCCAAGTTATGGAGTTTTCTAAACGACGTTGCAGGATGTAGAGGATTACGTTACTTGTGTGTGATATTTGACCTAGTAGTCTAGTTGTTAATTATTTGTTGGACTTTTCGTATGTAGAGGTATGATTAGGATCTTTCTCCAATCCTCAGACCAAACGCCTGAGTTGCAGATTTTACTTCACGTACCAGAAGATGCTTCAAGAATATCAGCAGTATCCCTCCCCAAGGGGTGGGATTTATTGTCCTACAGCCAAAGAATGTATTATTTGCTTCAAAGGGAAATTTTTTAAATCCGTGAAATAATCTTCGAAACCAAATTCATCTTCTTTAATTGTTCTTTAATTACAGTTTGATCAATGCACATGTCCCAACTGATGACTAATCAGAGGAAATAAAAGAACATTTCTTCGAAGACCAAAAGGAAGCTTTCAGAAGATGTCCCAGAAATGGCATTAAGATTGTATTAGGTGACATGAATGCAAGAATAGGACGATAGCGAGTTTTGGTGCCCTCGGCAGGAAAGCATAGCCACACAATATCAGCAGTGATAATGGAGCGGCACTAAATACGACATTCGCTAGCACCTATTTTGAACACAAGAACGTACACAAGGTAATCTGGACCTTTTCTGATGGAACCACAACGAGTCAGATTGATCATATCTTAATAGATTCAAGGCATGGAACAGACGTAATAAACTGCAGAAGTTTTAAAGGCTCAAACATACATCATTGCCTAGTGATCTTAACATTGAGGGCTAGAATTTTAAATACCAATAAAGAAAATAAAATGGATAGAAAAAAAATGAAATGTGCAAAAGCTGAGAAATGCGACAATTGCAGAACAATTGGAAAACATCACCAACAGGCTAAGGAATCAAAATGTAAATGAAGAAGGCCAGACAGATATAGACTCATACTGGACCAGAATAAAGGAAGACATTGAAACAGCAGCGAAAGATGAAATAGGAACAGAAATTTGTGTCCCTAAAAATCATTGGGTTGACGATGAATGCAAGAATGCAACAAAAAAATTGCCAGACTAAGAGAATAGAAGAAAACAGAATACACAAAATAAAAAAAACGAAACCACATAAGGAACTTAAATATATAGAAAACCTCAACAGAGAAAAAAAATCGGAACATTCTATAAGAAAGCTAACATCAATAGAAAATAATTCAAGGCAATCATAAGACAATGAAGAAGTCAGAATGGCGACCTATTAACAACACGGAAATATATATTAAATATATGGGTGGAATACTTTAACCAGGCACTTAATATAGAGGAATAAGAAGAAAACCTGGAAGACGAAAGAGATGAGGTAAGAAAAACAGACTAGGAGGAAGAGGAATCACCAACTATTCTTGTAGTTAAAGATGCAGTTAAAAAACTAGCTAGAAACAAATCACTCGAAATAGATAATCTCATAACAGCAGCTTATAAAAGAAATATGGACACAGAAATCTCTCCCAAATGATTGGAATATTGGAATACTTTTTACTGCTTTCAAAGGTGGTAAATCGACAATTTATCAGATTGCAACCTTTTAAAACAAATAACAGGCTACTCCAAGGAGACCTTCTCTCATGTATACTGTTCAATCTGGCTCTGACAAAAGTAATACGTATGTCACAAATCACAACCGTTGGTTCAATATACAATAAATCAGTGCAAATCCTTGCCTATGCTGATGATATTGATATTGTTGGAAGAACGGAAAACGCTGTCTGAGAGGTGTATGTATTAAAAGAATCAGCTACAAAAATTCTACGACCACTTGTTATAGAAAACGACGTCATCGAAGTAGTGAACGAATTTGTATACGTGGGAGCGCTCCTTAACACTGAAAATAATACTACTGCAGAGATAAACCGCAGAATTTGCACGGCCAACAGATGTTATTTTAGGCTCAATCTCCTCCTTAAATCCACAATTATATTGAGAAATACAAAAATAAAACTCTAAAAAATCATAATACGCCCAGTCCTAACATATAGTTCAGAGACCTGGACTATAAAACAAAAAGTAATGAAAACATGTTAGGAACATGTCTCGAAAGAAAAAAACTAAGACGAATCTATGGAGTGAACGACAATGTTGTGTAGAGAAGACGATACAACTTAGATCTTTATAGAATATATTAGGAACCAGATGTTGTAAAACATGACCCAGCTATAAAATCGCTCCTTGATAGACCCATAGGTCAGAGAAGAAGAGGAAGGCCCAGAACAAGGTTCCTTGATAATATCGATGAACACATGAGAAATATGGGAATAAATGCTTGGCGGACGAAGGCGATGGATAGGGAAGACTGAAGAAAAATCTTGAGAAGACTAGGAACCACGTAGAGTTGTAAAGTCAGAATGATGATGACTGAAATTACATCACATTGAGTAGAACATAAAATATTTATAAACAGTTTGACTTTCACATTCTTGGAAGTCAATGAGTTGCATAGAAATCCCCATAATGCTTCAAATATATTTAAAAGAATGGAAAAGAAAAGTATTTTTAAAATGTGTAAACATTTATTTCCTAGCTGAGCGCTTTCGGCTTACAAAGTCATCCTTAGACCTATGAACAAGTTTTTAAAAACGCCACTACTTAAGAGATATCCCATTTGGTGGAAAAATCCACAATTTTCCCTTTTCTCTATAAAAGTTATAAAAACTTCGTTACAAAAACACATAAGGAACGGAACATTGGACTTCATAAAAAACACAGTAAATAATTTGTTTATGGTACTAGTTTAAGAACCCGACATCGGTTGGAATTGAAGTAACTCTACTTTAACTCTGACCAACTGGTCGTGTTCTTACACCTATACCATAAACATATATTTTAATGTGTTTTTGTGCAGTTCAATGTTCCAATAGTTATATTGAAAAGAAAGTTAATAACAAAAGAAATATTGAAAAATGTAGTTCAGATATTAATGATTTTCGAGTAAAAAAGTACGTTTTATAAATTAATAATACTTGCCAGTGTTTTCTCCAATTTTAATGAGTCTATCATGTTCTCTTCGTCTATTCATAGCAAGCGATTGGTCAATTAAAAAAGCGTCGTACATCGGTTTACGTAACAGTTGTTCTGTTGACATCAGTTTTTCGTGGTCGTTAGACCAAATGTGAATAGTTATCCATGTTTGAGAGAGCAACCATAAAAACCATATCCAGGAATATTGATGACCAATAAAATCTTCAAGCCTCGACATGGTTGGAGTATTGAAGAATAAGTACGCAGGAAAATGTTGGTGTAAGCGCATTCATTCTTGTTATACATACCGCACATCGACACCAAAGCTGTAAATTAATAAAACATTTAAGGTTAAAATTATGAATAGCATAATACAACTTGAATAATATTTGATATCTCTATTAAGGCGCGTCCAGACTATCGTGCTCGTACTGAGGCTTTTGTGACTTGCTTAAAGGCGCAGTTACACGGCGCGTGGTTCGGCGAAACTGGCTTAAAGAACCACGATTCAGATGCCGTCTGACATAGGCGGTTTGCTAACATATGGCATATATTCGCTTAAATGCATTAGGGGTTTTGTAGGAGGTAAATGCAGTTGGTTTGTGTTCAATTTCTTAAATAGGACTGTATTGCAAAAAACTCCACCATCACTAATTCGTCCCTGGTATCCTATGTCCGCAAATGTGAATAAATAATTAGCATTTACAAGTGCTAATAGAACAATACTGAATGTTCCTTTGTAATTATAATACTTTGTTGCACTGTTTTTTGGTGCTTGTATTAATACATGTCCATATCGACATATGGATCGGAGACATGGACCATATCCAAGGCAGACGAAGACCTTCTGCTAATATTTGAACAAAGGATCCTGAGAGGAATATTTTGGTGGCATCTGTGAAAATGGTGTTTGGAGGAGGAGATACAACTACGAGGTATACCACAGATATAAACAAATATTTGGTGGTAAAGACGTAGTATCTCTTATAAGAATAGGAAGACTAAGATGGGCAGGACATCTAGCAAGATCACAGCAGAACAACCCTCCTAGAAGAATCCTTATGTCACAACCCGTGTGAAGTAGAAAAAGGGGTAGGCCAATACTCAGATGGAAGGATGGTGTAGATGAGGATGGTAGAAAGATAGGCGCAGCAAACTGGCAACGGTTGACAATGGATAGGACTGCCTGGCGTAATAGACTTGAGAAGGTCGAGGCTCTTTCATAGGACTGTAGCACCATTGATGATGATGATGATGATGTATTAATACATGTTTCCCATCCATTGTACCTACGCAAATTGAAAGTCTTATTTTTTACTTACCTTTGCAGACCTCTGATATACGATGCCACCCACCACGTCTTCTTTTTGCGTTTTTCATTTTATTTTGCGTCAAGATAGCAGACGCAACAACTTGTTGTCTAGCATCCATGGCCGTTGTTGCAGCACTGATTTTGGTTCCACATTGGATAGGACGTCTGAGGTGGGTAGGCCATGTAATGCGGATAGAGCAAACCGACCCAGCTAGGAAAACGCTCCTTGATAGACCTATTGGTCAAAGAAGAAGAGGAAGACCCAGAACAAGATTCCTCGATAACATAGACCAAGATATGAGAAATATGGAAATACGTGCTTGGCGGAGGAAGGCGATGGATAGGGACGACTGGAAGAGAATTCTTAGGGACGCCAGGACCCACACAGAATTGTAAAGCCAAAATGACGATGATAATTGGAAAGGCGAACTAAATACGTCACCTATCTGTACGAACCATATACCATTTTGACACACATGGTTTGCACAATGGCAAGCCAATGCGAACCACGCACCACTTTCGTGATTCGCCGAACCACGCGACGTGTAATTGCGCCTGAAGTGTGTACGTGCACGAGTTGTTTTTCGAAATGTTGTCATTTTCTTAATAAATTATGGACCAATTAAAGTTATCAGTTCTTCAAAATTACTAAGCAACATTCTACAGAATGTACGGAAGTGGAGATTTTCAACATAAGTAAGTTACTTCCACTGTATTGGCTTCGACTTTTAAACAGCGATGTCATCCACCACCGTTTTTTTTCTCATTTTCGATTATTTTAACAGATAATATATCATAATAAAAGCTGCACTGGCTGTTGCAAGCTCGTTCTCTTCCATTGGAACCGGCGGAGTACAAGTATTTTTCCAACTGAACAAGTCTATGTAAACGGTCAAGTGGAGGTAAGGGCAAGTACAACAAGCTTTACGAGTTTCAAATAGAAGTAAGAGTATGAGCAGGAGCACAAGTAGTCTGGATACACTTTTAAAGATTTTGGAAAAGATGAACAAGTATCTGATCCGTTAAACTAGGTAAAATTTGTTTAATGCATATCTTTTTATAAATCTAGATTCAGAAAAAGCTATTAACGTTTTTCTTATAAGCAATCTATCGCATTACATTACCACCATAATTTTGTTTGTTTGTTATGGTAACATGTCAAGTGTCTCTTTAACATGAAAAAAACTTACAATGAAGTCAAAACTTTTAGTGTAATAAATTAATATTTCCGTTATCCGCATCATGTCTTTGAATATAAACTAATCTTAGTTTACCTGTTAAAAGGACGGGAACAGCTAGATTTACAGGTAATGCGAAGCTCATGGACTGGATCATAATTTTACATGCAAATTTTCCAAAAGCGTAGCAAATATATGTAGTGAGAATGTTTATTAGCCAAATAACTATCGGTGTCCAATATGATGTTTTCATTTCAGTAGGAATTATGTCTGCTACTGCGTCTGTGTAGTTAATATTAGATGTTCCTACCACTGGTTCGATCTAAAATATATATATAAAACATCATTAATGACTTAATTATTATGTTTATATGGATTTAAGCCAAAGTTGCTTGTAATGACTTATTGTTTGTAATTGTTTGTAAACACTAATTGTTTGTAATTGTAAACACTAATTGTTTGTAATCTTTGGTTAACGTTTCGACTTCTATTCCAGAAATCTTTGTTTTCAAAAAAGATTATTTTAAAAACTGTGTCAAAAATATAACCAAAAGTTATTTAAGCGGTGATGTGGCCGCTTAAACAACTTAAACAACAGTATAATATTTGAGACATATAACAGATATATTTGCAAAACTCGCTAATCGACAAAAGTTTCGAAAATTATTTTGTTTGATAAGTTTATTTAATATTGTTCTGAAGCTATTTTCTTGTGGCATTGTAAATTAATTATGATTTATAACTGGGAATAAGCCACAATTAAAGATAAAAATACGTTTATTGACGTTTCAATTTCCAATTCGGAAATCGTTCTCAAAATACAAATAGTAAATTTACTATTTGTATTTTGAGAACGATTTCCGAATTGGAAATTGAAACGTCAATAAACGTATTTTTATCTTTAATTGTGGCTTATTCCCAGTTATAAATCATAATTAAGTTTATTTAAATTTTAAATAGGAATCAAATGATATAATCATTTCCCAAAACTCGTTCTTGAGCATACAAATACTGTCGAGAAAATTACATTTATTTGCATAACTCGCTCTTTGCTTTGAATGTTTAGCTGGAAAACTCGTTGTTTGCTCTACCATCAATGAAATTTGCCGATTGGTTTACATGACGAACACGCTACTACAACAGCTGTGTTGAAGAAACAAATTTTCAGTAGTTTAAAATTATTCAAACAATTAAACAGTTGTCTTTTGGCGAATTAGGAACAGTTTTTTTATTTTCATGGAGTTAGTAAGTGAAAATTGTTGTTTTGTTAAACCTAGTCCACAGGGAAATGGACGCAAAAAGTTCTTCAGTCAGAAACACATAAAAGGAATGTAGATAAACTTGATAGGTTAGTGCTTCATATTAAAATTTATGATTTTAGACTTATGCGACAATCGTTTTATTTTTTATGCAGTTTCACTTATTTTTCGCGTTTTAACGTTGGGTAGGGCTAGAGAACAGTTTATTAAAAGAGTTGCACTGTTACAGAAATACACCAAAAGCACTTCCGGCCTTTCCAACTTATGGTCATAACGGACGATCCTATTGCCATATTATTGTACCACACTCATAACGAAGCAAGTGATAGATTTTCATGCCTACCTTTATCAGTCAAAAGATAAAAGTAAACAAGATCTTTTGATATTGATATGCACGTTTGTGTAAGGGTAATATGATTAGAGTATGTGCCAAGTCGTTTCTAGGAATTACAAATTTAAGCAAGGACACATACAAAGAATTGTAAGAAACTTTGTTATTACTGGGGAGCTACTCAAGGAACGTAGAGGTGGCAATAGAGTGGGTCCAAAAAATAATAAAAAAAGAAACTGCATTAAAAAACCAATAGAATTCATGAAATGTATAGAGTCTCAGTACTGTAGAAGCAAGACAAGCGTGAGGGTATACTTGCCGTGTGACTTAGATTTTAAGAAATTTTCGACCATTATCTTCGAAGAGGGTCTCAGCCTATATATGTGAAGCTTAGTTATTTTCGAAAGTATATGAATGTTAACTACAATATCGCTTTTGGAATTCCGCTGACCGACTGTTGCTCCACTTGCTTGAGAACAAAGTAGCAGTTGAAAGTAGCAACTTCTTTAGCTGTTCGGAAAACATCATGTTCATATCGTAAAAGCAAAGACTGTTTTTAAACTTCTTAAAAATTCAAAACCCAACACAACTTACTTTATGTTCGACTGCAAAAAAAAACTTAGCACTGTCTACATTGCCTGATCAAGCAGCATATTTCAGCCAGCAAATAAACTATAATAACTATAATAATTTTACAGTTGTTGCTGACAGAAATTGACTCTCGAAAAGATTCTAATATAATAGCGTCAGCTTTGGAACATGCTCTAAAGAATTTTAATTTTGATGTCAATATAGAAACAGTACGTTTGTTCGCTGAGGGTTGCAGCGACCGAAACAAAAATTTGAATATGACAGACTGTACGGAAAATCGGTACGGATTGGGATGGTTTGATTGGAGGACACAAACAAAACGAGTTATTAAGCTGCCTAGTTTATATCACTTTGAATTTAATAAGTCAAAGTGGTTTATTTTTTACCAAAAAGGCAACAATGTGCTAGTTCAACCTAATTACCGAAATGACGTTTGTAAGAAATATTTTTCTCTTTCTTCAATGGCTCTTAAGAAATTACAACTGGGAAAAGAATTAAAGGGGATAAAGGAACTATTAATAGTCTCCTTTCCTAATACTATGGAGAAAATTGGAACTATTTTTTTTGCAAAGAACACTTGAACACAGATTCTACTTCACCAGAAGAAACCATTGATGGTTTGGAAAATTTCCAAAATGCAGAAAATGACTGTCTTTTAGTTTGAGCATGACTGATTGAGACTGCTTTTGATTTTTTTTTCGTTTAAACATTTTCTTATATATGACTAAAAATCTTAAAGTTTTATTTTCATGAATAAATCCCTTATGTTTTTGATTAAACTAAATATGGTTTGTTATTATTTTATATATTTGTTTGGTATTTATAAAACTGGTTGTCTGCAATAAAATTTTTTTTTTTTATAAAAATCTGTAAATACTTTAGGCTAGAAACTTCTAATTTCTATTGCTACAAACTCTAAGCAACAATAATAAAGTTCTTTACGTTGTGAGCTAAACACTACTCGGCCGTTAATCGTCATTTTCGATTTCCCAAAAAATGACTTTCGAGCAAAAAGCAAGTTTTGCAAATAATGGCCTCATTTTTTTTATATCATTAAAGTCATTAAGTTCAAATAAATGTAATTTTAAAAGAGGTTTAATTCCAAACTTTTCTGAGACAACAAGTCACGTTTGCCAGTGAAATCTGGGCTTGAAGAAACGTATTAGAAAAAGAACTGATTAAATAGGAAGATAAAACGTTAAAAAGAATTAATGGCGGTAGTTATAGAACACTGTTTCTGAAAGATAGACGATTTCATATTTTAGCGTCGACAAATGTTTATGTACATTTGTGTTAGCTCCAGTAATTTTCTTGATATTCCTAATTCTAGCATAGCTAGCCATAGCCTGCTTCCTTTTATAGAATCAGATCCTTGCTAAAAATCTACGAAGATTTTATCCGCACCCCGATTGAATACCAAGTTTTTTTTCTAATATTTGTCGGATCGTAAATATTTGATCTGTTTTTGACCTTCAAACATGAAAACCGCATTGGTAGTCATCTATAATATCTCCGACATAAGTATTGAGTCTCTTTTTAACACGATAACTGCTAGAACTTTATGTGCTGTGCTAATAAGTGATATACCTCTATAGCTTCGAAATTTTTCTTTATTTCCTCTTTTATGTATCGGTACTATGACGCTTCCATGTCATTACCAATAAAAATTTCATATATTGTATGATTATAAATCAGTGCTTACAACTGATATTTACAAGAGAATCTTTTAATTTCATATTCTTTATGTGTTATATCATTTACTTAGTGTGACAAAAATGAAAAAAAAAACAGCAGCGCGAAGAAATAAAATAAAATCTATACTAATGGCGTACTAATCGACTATTTAAACAGGTAAATACAATGTAAAGTTTAAAAGTCTTTCTAAAGAAATAAAATAAAATCCATAAGGAAAAAGGTAATTTGCTGTAATCGGCTGTATACCCTAAATCAGGGGTCACCAATTATATTCCTGTGAGTCCGTAATTTTTGCGGCAAAATTTGAAATATTTGTATCTTAGAATTTAATTTAATCATTTAATACTACTGTTTCTGGTTGTTTTCTTTCTGCTACTGTAGTGTTCAACAATTTTATCGAACATATCCAAATATATTTAAAAATTTAAATGTTAGTAACAGCGTTTGTCTACAACTACAGTTCTGTACACTTTAACGAAATCTTCCTGATACTCGATGATTTCCATTTAAAGGCAGCTTTGTTACTTTTAAAAACGTCTACTGCTTCGCTGACCCACACATCATTAGACTTCAGTGAAAAACTGTTGCTTAAAAGTTGCACAACATTTTCAATTTTGAGAAAATCAGAAAATCGTTTTTTAATTTTCAAATCAAGTTCATTAATAAAACGTGAGAACTGGGTAACATCAATATCTTTATTACTATCACAAAAAGATTTAAGGAAAGAAAATGCAAAGTTTTGCCTTAATATCCTGACAAACAAGTTCAATCTTTTAAGAAAAACACCTAATATCCGATAGTGCACAAGTGCACAAGTGCACAAACAAGTTTTCGCTTGCATTGTAGTTTTAAATTGAAGTTCAAATGTCTGAAGATATCCGCCAAAAATGTAATAGTTACAACGTTTTCTGTGTCAAGAGGAAGCCCAAATGGTCATTTGCAGTTTCAATATTAATAGTGGAGAGAAATTCTTTTATGTTTTCAAGTATTGCAAACAATCTTTCACGCACTAAACGTTTGCTCAGCCATCTTACGTTGTTATGAAGAAGCAAATCGTCAAACTGAGCATTGTGTCTTCTAGGAATGATTTGAATTGACGATGCCTCAAAGATGATTTTGCACGTATAAAGTTCACTATCTTCATGACGGTTTGCATTTTACTGTGAAGATTTGAATTTAACGGCGGTCCGCAAAAAAAAAGCTCACGGTCTGAATGCGAACCGCAGTCCGCTATTTGGTGACCCCAGCCCTAAATCATAAAAAGTATGCAGCACATCTGCATAAATTGGGAATAGAGAATTCACCAGTTTGCTTTTGGGATAATATTTCTATTAGGTATTTGAATCATATTTTCCTGGAATTCAAAATTAACGATATATTATATATATATATATATATATATATATATATATATATATATATATATATCTATATATATATATATATAT